GTTATCATTTTAAAAATATTCAATTTCCTTTTCTTTAAACTGAGAATGACTGGTCTCAAAATGATGCCTCAACCTACCTGGCACCATGATAGTGTCTGACAATATTCTGTTGACTGAGGGAAACCATTAATATCTCTAAAGTCAAGGAAAAGAAATAAGCTTTGGTCACACTTTTCTTTCTTATTTACAGTTCACTTAGATTTTTCCCTTTACCTGAGTCAGAATCTTCTGATACTGATGTATCATCTTTTTTAGTATCTTTACATGTGGGAGATTGAGAAAGCAGATCTTTTAATTTCTCTCTTGTGTGTCAATGAAAAAACCTAAAATTAAAAAAATTACAAATAAAATTTTATTTTAGAATAAAATATTAAATTCTAAAAAATAAGCTTTAGATAAAATTTAAATAGTAAAAAAGTTTTTAATAAATTAAAAATATTCTTGCAAAACAACAAAATGTTTTTCCTTGTGTTTTTGCATAAGTACAGTCACAATTTAGGAATTTCAAAATACCATTTATTGGATGATTAATGAGAAATAAGATATAAATAAACATTGACAAAATTCTTAGAGGAAATGGAAAATGTTATTTGAGCCAAATGAGGATTATAACCTGGAAGACAGTCTGTCAGAGAGCTCTGAGAACAGTTCTGAAGAGGTACAGGGGGAGGCTGGTAGTATACGTGAGTTTGATGAAAGGGTATGTGCAATTAAGCCCTCATCTTGGTAGAAGGTTACCGCTGTTTGTGAGGAACAAATATATTAGTTAATGGTTTTAGTGCTTTTCTAAGTATTGTTGTTCAGTCACTCAGTTGTGTCTGACTCTTTGCCACCCCAGGGACTGCAGTATGCCAGGCTTCCCTGTCCTTCACACATCTCCTGGAGCTTGCTCAAACTCATGTCCATTGAGTTTGTGATGTCATCTAACTATCTCATCCTCTGATATCCCCTTCTCCTCCTGCCTTCAATCTTTCCCAGCATCAGGGTCTTTTCCAATGACTCATCTCTTCGCATGAGGAGGTCAAAGTATTGGAGTTTCAGCTTCAGCATCAGTCCTTCAATGAATATTCAGGATTCATTTCCTTTAGGATTGACTGGTTTGACCTCCTTGCTGTCCAAGGGACTCTCAAGAGTATTCTCCAGCACCACAGTTCGAAGGCATCAATTGTTCAGTGCTCAGTCTTTTTCATTGTCCAGCTCTCACATCCATACATGACTACTGGAAAAACCATAGCTTCAATGATAGGGACCATTGTAGGTAAAGTAATGTCTTTGAGTTTTAATATGCTGTCTAGGATTGTCATTGCTTTTCTTCCAAGGAGCAAGTGTCTTTTAATTTCACATTTGCAGTCACCATCTTCAGTGATTTTGGAGCCCAAGAAAATAAAGCCAGTCACTCTTTCCATTGTTTCCCCATCTGTTTTCCATGAAGTGACGGTCTGGATGCCATGATCTTATTTTTTGAATGTTTTAAGCCAGCTTTCTCACTCTCCTCTTGCACCTTCATCAAGAGGCTCTTTAGTTCCTCTTCACTTTCTGCCATAAGGGGGGTGTCATTTGCATATCTGAGGTTATTGATATTTCTCCCTGCAATCTTAATGCCATCTTGGGCTTCATTCAGCCCACCAGCTCGCATGATGTACTCTGCATAGACGTTAAATAAGCAGGGTGACAATGTATAGCCTTGACGTACCCCTTTCCCAATTTTCTTACATCTAAGAATAAGACGATGTAAGAAACTGGGTTCATAAATTTTTTTCCTACAAATATTTATCCGAGAGCCAGTTCTGCCACTTTTTCAGAGCACAGAGTGCCTCATCCTGATCTTTGCCTTGAATTCCTTTCAGGTTATATTTTAAGTCAGCAACTGCCGTGGCTAATGACCTGATTTTTGAAGAACTGGGTGGTGAGTAACATTCTTTATTTTAAAATATCTTCTTTTGGTCTTAATTTTGACTAAGGTTTGGGAGTAATTTCGTGATCAATTTTTTCCATGGTGCTAGGAATGCTCATTCCCAGGTCAGGCACAGATTCCATTGATAGGCCCTCACTGTGTGCTATTGCTGGACTAGGCATTGTTAACAGTAACCAAAAGCCTCTGGAATGCCTGTCTTCCTAGTCTGTTATGGTTCAGGAAATGGTTCCCTCATGTTGCTTCTTCCCATATCTAGAATTACACTACTAAGATGATTGATCTTATAGGACTACATATTTGACCAATTGTTTTAAATAACATAATCATCATTCAAAAAATGAAGATCATGGCATCTGGTCCCATCACTTCATGGCAAATAGATGGTGAAAAAAATGGAAACAGTGACAGGTTTTATTTTCTTGGGCTCCAAAATCACTGCAGATGATGACTGCAGTCATGAAATTAAATGACGCTTGCTCCCTGGAAGAAAACCTATGACCAACCTAGATTGCATATTGAAAAGCAGAGACATTAGTTTGTCTACAAAGGTCCATATAGTCAAAGCTATGGTTTTTCCAGTAGTCATGCATGGATGTGACAGTTGGACCATAAAGAAAGCTGAGGGCCGAAGAATTGATGCTTTTGACTGTGGTGTTGGAGAAGACTCTTGAGAATCCCTTGGACAGCAAGGAGGTCAAACCAGTCAATCCTAAAGGAAATCAGTCCTGAATATTCATTGGAGGGACTGATGCTGAGGCTGAAGCTCCAATACTTTGGCCACCAGATGCAAAGAGTCAACTCACTGGAAAAGATCCTGATGCTGGGAAAGATTGAGGGCAAGAGGAGAAGGGTGTAACAGAGGACAAGATGGTTGGATGGCATCACCGACTCAATGGACATGAGTTTGAGCAAGCTCTGGGAGATGGTGAGGGACAGGGAAGCCTGGCATGCTGCAGTCTATGGGGTTGCAAAGAGTTGGACCCCACTGAGTGAGTGAACAATAATAGTCATTATGAATTTTTTCTGAGGCTTGGCCACACAGTTGATAATGGAAAAAATCAATGAGAATACAATTAATATAGTTAGTAACATTCTGAATAAATATTTAAGCTCAGAAATTCTACTAGGTGTGACCCAGAATCTCCCCTGGTCATCTCACCAGTCTGTTTTACACCATCAGCTATTTGTACAGGAAATGATACACTGGCATTGTACATAAAGTTCACTAAAATTGTCTACAGGTACAAGGTGAATGGTGGAGCATTGTGACCCCTTACGAGATTGAGAAAGCAAGGTTATCTTCTAAGAGTTAGATAACTGGTGCCAAAAAAAAAGAAAAGAAAAGAAAAATTGATGTTTATGGTGGAGTAGATATTTCTGCCATTGGGGAGGTCTGGTCAATGCATAATGCATTTGCACAATGCACATTAGAGGGGAGGGACCGACCCAAATAGACACAGAAAAATTTTATGTCTAAATTTCTCTTGTCTTGCCTTAAAATATGAATTTTCATTGCATCACGAAGATACTAAGAACCCACTAGAAGTACTGAGGATAAAACGATCTAATCTCTGAAAACACACTTATCTACCAACATATCCTAAACCATAGGTAGCTCAATCTATAAAATACAAGTGGAGTATTCCAACACGCATTTCACCAGCCAATAGAGGCTGTAAATCATCTACCCTCTTGAAAAAGTCTCTATACACTCTGGAGAGCATAAGCATGAAAACAGCAAATAATATTAAAGTAATGTTGTGACTATAGTTTTGACTTCCTGGATCCTGTCTTAGGGTCTCAGAGATCTTCAGAAGTCATCAGACCACATTCTCAAAAACCACTGTACTAGATTCTGTTCCAGACCGAAGTTGGGATAACAGCAATGAATAAGACATCCTCAGTACAGGGAGATAAATATTGATGTAGTGGCAACTGTCATCCGTTTTAAAATAGAAAATAACAGAACATTGCGAGACGATAGGTCGGCGGCGGTGGTGGTGGTGGCCACCCGACCACTTCCCCTTGCTGGCTGCCTCCCCAGATCCTAGAAGAGGGGCGGAAGGGTAGGGACACTGGCCAAGAGTCCCCGTGCGCGGCGGGGGCTGAACCCGGCATGCTGAGTCCATAGGACAGCCGCGCTGTCATTCAACTCCACCAGGGTCCCGGCCCCCCAGGACCCGGGCAGAGCGTGGTGCCGCGGTCCCTCTTCGATTCCGCCCCTCAGGGTGCGGCGGCGGGAGGTGTAGGGATTGCCGGTGGTCCCCAGGCAGTGAGCAGTGGCCGAGAGAGGGCCAGGAATGTCCACCTCCCTGTGGTGTCCCCAGCAGCGCGGAGGCGCCTAAAGCGAAAGCGAGATTTCGGCGGGCGAAGTTTGAAGGAAGGACCGGCGGCAGCGGTTACCTTAGGAGGAGCCAGAGACGCGCGAGACGCTGGCGTTGCCATCGAAACCGGGAGCTTCCGGTCCTTCTCAGTTCAGTTCAGTTCAGTTGCTCAGTCGTGTCCGGCTATTTGCAACCCCATGGACTGCAGCACACCAGGCTTTCCTGTCCATCACCAACTCCCGGGGTTTACTCAAACTCATGTCCATTGAGTCGGTGATGCCATCCAGCCATCTCATCCTGTCATCCCCTTCTCCTCCCGCCTTCAACCTTTCCCAGGATCAGGGTCTTTTCCAATTAGCCAGTTTTCCGCATCAGGTGGCCAAAGTATTGGAGTTTCTGCTTCAGCATCAGTCCGTCCAGTGAATATTCAGGACTGATTTCCTTTAGGATGGACTGGTTGGATCTCCTTGTAGCCCGAGGAACTCTCAAGAATCTTCTCCAACACCACATTTCAAAAGCATCAATTCTTCGGCCCTCCTCCTCCACCACAAGACGACAACTTCCGCGCAGGCTTGGAGCGCGGTGTTTTGCTCGCGGACTCTCGCGCCCTCTAGCGGCGTCTCTGAGAAAAACTTGTCCGCGCCGGACGCGAATAAAGATTTCTTCTTCAAACAAACAGGAAGTGCCTACGGAGGCCGGGCCGGCGGCGGGTCAGGGGCCGGGCATGAGGCCGGGTGGCGAGCGGATCGCGGGCGGCGGCGATGAGCGACATAGTGGAGAAAACACTGACGGCGCTGCCGGGACTATTCCTACAGAACCAGTCGGTTGGCGGGCCTACGGCCGCCAAGGCGTCCTTCTCCTCCCGGCTGGGCGGCCTGGTCCGCGGCATCACCGCGCTCACCTCCAAGCACGTAGGTGTCCGCCGGGCCGGGAGGTCAGGGGCGCCTGAGGGAGGCCCCCTCTCTGGGAGGCTCTGGTCCCGCTGTGAACCCCCCGGAACTGTCTCTCCGGCGGGTGTGTCTGTCGGTTCTGGCTTCTCTCCGGAAGCGCCACTTGGGCTGCCCGGACAGACAGACAACTAGGAGGCCAGGTTTCCACTGTTGGCCCTGACATTGACTCATTATTACCTGGGGCAAAATCTTTAGTATTTGAGCCTCCGTGTGTTTCTCGAACGTTGAAGTGTCAAAGTACCGACACATATTTCATAGATTGTTTCGAGGGTTAGAAGAGACACCAACCAGTTGAAAATACCAGGTGCCATGGAAGTGTCAGCGTTATTCTAAAAAGTTTCTTTCTAACTCGGATTCTTGCTCTGTCCCAGTTCTTTAGTGTATGCTAGATAACATACATTAGAACAGGTCCTGCTATCTGAACCTGCTGTTGAACATGTTTGGGGAGCTCGAGGTTCTTAGGTTAGACCTCTGGATTGGGCAAAGAAAAAGCGTAATTCTTCCCAATCTCAGTATTTGCTGAGTAAGTTTCTGCCTCTGATGGGCTTTGAAAACGAGCATTTATAATGGAAAATTTTAAGTTCCCACAAGCTTTCTGTAGTTGTATGGATTGTGTAAGATGCTGATAAAAAGCTTCAAGGATTTTGTATCTTAAAAAAAAGATCATGTGGTATAGCATAATTTATTTGTTAAGAAAATACTTATGGAAGAAGCTGTGTGTTAAACCCTAAGGAAATAGTCTAAAACATTCCTTTTTCCAAAGAATTGGTCCTTCATCTTGGGCTTAAGACAGGTATAAGTAGTATATGGTGAAATATGTGTCAGGAGAGAAGAAAAGAGAAAGACAGGAGGTTTTTCTTCAAAGTGCTTTGAGGGTTTAAAAACTTTTTTAAAACTGAAATAGGATGATGTACTGGAGAGGATCTGTTTCACATTCAGAAACCACAGAAAATAATTATTTGTGGACTTAATATTAACATTTTGTCCTTTGCTAATTTTTGTGAGATGGTAAATGAAATAAAATATTTTTGGTTTTAAATTGCGGTTTGAAACTGTATGTAAGGTATCTAAATGTGGCAGTACTTCACTAGTATTTTTTGGTTAGTCACTTAATGGGCATCTGCTAGCTAGTTCATTGTGTAACTTAGAGATAGCATTGTATTGGGCAAAATTTGGACCGATTTTCAAGTGCTTAAGGAGGTGAAATACAATGCAGATGATAGAAGTAGCCATATTTGTGTATTTATTCTATGTGTGTGAGAAAGAGATGGAAGGATAGGGAAAGGATGCAAAGAATAAAGGGAAAAAGGTAGGGAAGAAGAATATAGTTTAAGAGAAAAGGATTGTTTTCTGTTTGTCTTCTTACCCTTTTTATCCATTCCATGAAGAAGAAGGTGTGAGAACCTTATTCTGGGCTGCTACACGAAGAATTTCTTTTCTACTTACTCTCCAGTGTTAAAACAAAACAAAACAAAACAAAACAAAACAAAAACATTTTCTGCTCAACTGTCCGTAAGGGGACAGTAACTGAGTGAAGAAAAGAGGAGTGGTGAGTTAGCATGAAAATGTTTATTCTTTCCAGAAATGATTCTGAGGGCTGGAGAAATCCCTTTAGGCAAATCTGAAGCACATACTTTTTATAACTCTCCTTTAAAATAATGTTTCTTTTTTATTTATAATATTGTGAGTTGTACTTTTCCCTTTTAAAAATACTGTTAACAGTTTAAAAAGACAGTTATTCATGAGTCAAATATTTTCACTTTTTTAGGAGGAAGAGAAATTAATCCAGCAGGAACTGAATAATCTGAAAGCAACTGTTTCTGCTCCTACTACAACTCTAGTAAGTTTACATAGTCAATGTCAGTGTGTTTTCAATTTGAAATCTGGTCTACTATTGACTCAGTAGTGGCATTAACTGATGAGTTGCTAAAATCTAATATATCACAGTCAAAATCAGTTATGGAGGATAATAAGTCAGATGTTAACTTTGGCGTTTTTATTAGCAACTGACTGCACCAGACCAAAACTTACGTGACTGATGTCAGTTCAGTTCCAACATGATGATAGTTAACATAAATGTGGTAATACTCCTGGGACCCCTGTAACTGATCTTATTGTTTTAATGTTGTGCACTGAGAAAGGTTAGGGCACATAATTTAAAATAGTATTATAATACTATTAAAATATATAATATTTAATATATATTAAATATAAATATAGATAACATACATTATATAATATTAAAATATATAATATATACAATATAAAATATATAAAACATAATACTATTAAAATAATAGTATTTTAATACAGACCTGAATTGATACATTGTAAAAATCTCTTATTTTGCATTTCTACATCTGGGAGTATAGGTTGACTGACAAAGTATAAAAATGATTTTCTTGCTGTAAAACTGAGTATATTGCATAATAGCTAAATCAAGATCTAGTTTAAAAAAATTGATTCCCTATAATTTGATTTTCAAACAGCATTCATTCAGCAATTAAGCAGTGGCCACTGTGGGACTGTTCCTACATAGTTAGATTAAGGCCTAGGTTTTTTTTTTTTTCTTTTAATTTTTACTTGGTTTTAGATAATAAGATTTTATAAGCAACATTTATTTAGCAAAGATTTAGTGAGTGCTTTCTTTGTGTAAGTTGCTGTGGCACACACTTCTAATAAAAATACTAGGGTGATCATTTTGCATGTACACATGATCATGTGTGTGAATAACACTTGTAAAGTCTGAGAGAATATATGTATTTCCTTTTCTGGTTATAAGAATAGGATGGTGAATGGTGCTACCGGATTCGTGGTCTCCAAAGGAGAAGATTTAACTCCAGGACCAAAGATAGTCACAGTCACTCAGAACTTTGTATAGATTTTATTTAAAGTGAAAGTGACAGAAAAAGCTTCTGACATAGACATCAGAAGAGGGCAGGAGAGTACCTGCCTCACTAGTTTAAGCGGGACCTTTTATACTTCTCAACCAGCTGCTGAGAATAGATAACAAATGCCTCAAGGCTGTGAGAATTTCGCCCAAACCCTTTGCCATAACATTCATCCTGGGATGACATCAGCACGAGATTAGCCAGAAGGAACAGGTTAACCCAGAGCTCAAGGCTGTGGAAGTTTTACCCAGGCCTTCTCCCATAACATTCATCCAAAGCTCAAAAAAAAGGCATGTCCTTGAACAAGAGATGCTGCTGCCTGTGAGACCTACTTGTCTAAGGCAAAAGAATGTGAGAAAGAAAGAGTGTTTACTTGCTCCTTAAAGGGGCCCTACTTAGGTTTGGACTCCTTGTCAACCTGCCTAAGTTACTCTTCCAGGTGGACAAATGAAACTCAAAGCATAATCAGTGTGATACAGTGTTCAATGTCAGTCTCTCCACCGTGTTCGACTCTTTTGTGACCTCATGGACTGTGGCCTACACGCTCCTCTGTCCGTGGGATTTCCCAGGCCAGAATACTGGAGTGGGTAGCCATTTTCTTCTCCAGAGGATCTTCCACACCCAGGGATCGAACCCAGGTCTCCTGCATTGCAGACATATTCTTTACTGCCCACGCTATCAGGGAGGCCTCCAATGTGATATATCTGTGTGTATACATGTATACATATGTGTGTGTATGGATAGGTATATGTTTATATGTGTAGGAATAAAATCATTGTGCATTGTGATACTTGAGCGACTTCCCTCTCTTTACTTGCCTTGATTTCCATTTTCTATAGTTGGCATCATTAAGTACAATTTTTCATGTTACTTGGTATAAACCTGGTGTTGACAGAATTTAGACAAGTAGATAGAAGTTAGGGAGCCACTGTTTGAAGGAAGATTTTATAATAATTATGGCCAATCACTCTGAGGGTACATTATAGAATAGTCTTATCCTTGAGGTGGTCATGTAGAAATTACAGTTTATTAAAGAAATTCTGAAGTGAATTTCTACATTGGAGAATGCATTTTCTTCTCCCCAAATAAGAGAATAATAGTGTATGCAGTCGAATTTTACCTAAAGCTCCTGATGACTTTTGAGAACCTAGGAGATAAAATGTTACAAAATCAAGGTTGATATTTAAGGGCGTAAATGAACACTTTCACTCCTCATTGATACAGAAGTTTGCTTTTATATATATATATATATTATATACATATATATATTTTACTGCAACAGGTCTTAGTTGCAGCTTGCAGTATCTTTAGTTGCGACATGTGGAATCTAGCTCCTTGACCAGAGACTGAAGCCAGGCCCCCTGCATTGGGAATGCAGTCTTAGCTACTGGACCACAAGGGAAGTCCTGATACAGAAGTTTTTGAAGAAGCTTCCAGTATCTTTTACACATGTTTTCTCAGTTGTCGTCATTCAGTTGCTCAGCCATGTCCAGCAACTTTTTGCGACCCTAGGGACTGCAGCATGCCTGGTTTCCCTGACCTTCACCATCTCTCAGAGCTTGCTCAAACTCAAGTCCATTGAGTCGGTGATGCCATCTAACCGTGTCATCCTCTTATGTCCCCTTTTCCTCCTGCCTTCAATCTTTCCCAGCATTTGGGTCTTTTCCAGTGAGTTGGCTCTTCACATCAGGTGGCTGAAGTGTTGGAGCTTCAGCATCAGTACTTCCAGTGAATATTCAGGATTGATTTCTTTTAGGATCGACTGGTTTGATCTCCCTGCAGTCCAAGGGACTTCTAAGAGTCTTCTCCAATACGACAGTTCAAAAGCATCAGTTCTTTGGCGCGCAGCCTTCTTTATAGTCCAACTCTCACATCCATACATGACCACTGGAAAAACCATAGCCTTGACTATATGAACCTTTGTCGGCCAAGTAATATCTCTGGTCTTTAATTTGCTGTGTGGGTCTGTCATAACTTTTCTTTCAAGGAGCTAGCATCTTTTAATTTCATGGCTGCAGTCACCATCCATAGGGATTTTGGAATCCAAGAAAATAAAGTCTGTCACTTTTCATTGTTTCCCCATCTATTTGCCATAAAGTGATGGGACTAGATGCCATGATCTTATCTTTTTGAATGTTGAGTTTAAGCCAGCTTTTTCACTCTTGCCTTTCACCTTCATCAAGAAGCTCTTAGTTCCTCTTTGTTTTCTGCCATAAAGGTGGTGTCATCTGCATATCTGAGGTTATTAATATTTCTTCCTGTAATCTTGATTTCAGCTTGTGTTTTATCCAGCCTGGCATTTAGCATGATGTCCTCTGCATATAAGTTAAATAAGCAGGGTGACAGTATATAGCATTGATGTACTCCTTTCCCAATTTGGAACCAATTTTTCTCAATATTTAGTAGTTAATGTGGTAATGAATTAACTTTTATTACTTTAAACCCAAGTGACCTAAATTAAATCATTAACTATTATTCCCTTAAGATTTTCCTGTGATTTATTTTTAAACTTTTCATATTTAAATGTGTGTGTATGTGTATATCTATCTATATATAATATATATGAAATATTAAATGTTGTCCTTAGTTTAAAACATTTTATTTTACTATTTCTTCTTAAGCATTTTGTGATTTAGGAATTCTATAATTCTGTTATATATTAGGATTTATTTATTAACCCTAATTTTTAGATAGTAAAATAGTCTGAGCTTTACATATTTTGAAACACATTTATTTATATTTTTAATTTTTGATTAAAATTTGCTGTCAATATTGAGAATGCAGATATTCTCATACTAATAAAATAAATTTATAGAATATCTTAAAACAAGTTATTTGCTTATGTTGTAAATATTGAAAGACTCAGTTAAGTTTAATATTGGAATGACTCTACCATTAATAGGGCTTCCCTGGGTGGCTCTGACAGTAAAGAATCTGCCTGCAATGCAGGAGACCTGGATTCAATCCCTTGGTGGGGAAGATCCCCTGGAGAAGGGACAAGCAACCCATTCCAGTATTCTTGCCTGGAGAATTCTGTGGACAGAGGATCCTGGTGGGCTACAGTCTGTGGGGTCGCAGAGTTGGACACAACTGAGCAACAACAGATACACATACCATTAATAAAGTCATCATAATTGTGGGAGTTGTTGAAAAAGTAATACAGTAAATTACTGCGTGTCATATACAGCATAATAATTCTGAAGAAACCCCAGATGCAATTTGGTCTTTAAATGTGAAAAATACTTTCATTACAGAAATTGTTACCAACCTGTGGGGGTTTCATGGATCTTTTCATTTGACAAAGTATATTTAATGATGTGCTGCATTCTAGAAGCCAAGTTAGAGTCCTGTGAGTGAAATTTTTTCTAAGGACCACGCGTCTCACATTATAACCAGATTTTTCAGGAGGGTGACCTAGAATTAGAAATGGCTATAGTTGATTTATTTTATATTGTTGCCTCTAACAAAATATTGAAATAATTTTACTAAAATGAGTACTGTTGATAGTTAAATTTGGGAGAAACTTGTTTACAAAGTCTGACTTTGGGTGATAATTTATATATGTTGTTTTTTCAGCGCCAGGATTAAAGAATTCTACTGTTAAATGATTACAACATACTAAAGAAAGAATCAAAGCATTCTATTTATTTATATGATTACTGGATTATTTTTTTTTCAGAAAATGATGAAGGAATGTATGGTGAGACTTATATATTGTGAAATGCTTGGATATGATGCTTCCTTTGGCTATATACATGCAATCAAGTTGGCACAACAAGGAAATCTTTTAGAAAAAAGAGTAGGTATGTATGCGTTTAAGACTTTTGCACTTTATCTTGTCCTTAAAGTTCTGGTATTATATAAAATGAATGATGACTGATATGTAGTATGTTTTTAGAACACTGCTTTGTGATTTCCTTACCTTTAAAAGATAACATTTCAAAAACTTACAGCCTATAAAAGAAATCAATTTTCCTGATTCATAGCATTTTGGAGTTACATAGAAGATTAAAAGTTGCTTGTTCTTATGATGGTGGTTAGATGACTTTGTCAAGACTCACTGAACTATACCCTTAAAAAGATGACTTTTCTTGTATTAAATTATACTTCAGTAAAGCTGATTTTAAAAAGTCTATTCAATTTCAGCAGTTTAGTAATCAGATATGGTTTTTTAATAGAATAAGACTGAAATTGCTGTGAATAATTTTAGATATCTTGCTCCTAGTTTCACAAATGTTAGCTGTAAGGATTTCAGGTATCTTTTAAAAATTGTTATCTCTATAATCAGCCTTCAAGGCTATTAGTAAAACTGCTTACAAAAACTTAAACCGTGTTTTCTTATAGCTTCAGCTTCATATCAGAAGCTTAAGGAGGAAGTACTTTAGAATAACATAGGAGTAGAACATATTCTTTATTTAAAGAAGTTGATACTGTTATGTTGTCGGGGACCAACATTCTTCTTATGTTATATGTTATATTGACCTGTGCTGTCAGATGATGGGGAAAGTGTGGGAGATGTCTTGGTAAAGATCCTGAGACTGTGCTCACACAGTATTCTACTTGTTGAACCTCACTTCGCCAAAAATACTCTTCTGTCTTTCATTATATTCTTCCCTCCGGGTACAGTGTCCTCTGGCAGCCTATCTCTCCCTTTCTGTATTTCAAACCAAGTTTTAACTCTTCTGTGGTCACTGAGGTGGCTCCTGCCATCTATTTGTCTTTTCCAACCTAATTCTAAAATCTCTGACAGCAGGAAGTTTTGAAAACAATAGATAGTCAATACTTTGTACATCTGTTGCTGTCTTTTTCTTTTTAGACTTTCATGTAATTTTTTCATTTTCAATTACATTTTTAAAATTTATTTACTTATGACTGTGCTGTGCACCCTGTGGGATCTTAGTTCTTTGACCAGGGTTTGAATCCAGACCAGCAGTGAAAGCGCCGAGTCCTAACCACTGGACCACTAGGGAATTCTCTAAGTTTTATTTTTAAAATATGTAAAAATTACTTGTGTTACATGGTCCAAAGTTAAGACCTGATAAAAAGGTATAATCAGACAAATTTCTGATTTGTCAAATTTTTACTTTTATTTCTAGCTCCTCTATGAGGTTTGCCCCTTACCCCATGAGTAACTATTTTCACTAGTTTCTGATTAATCTTTCCATTGCTTCTTTTTGAAAATAAGCAAACAAGTACACATTTATATACTCTCTCTTAACAACAACAAAAAAATGGCTTGTTGTAGAGATTATTCTATACCTTGTTTTGATATCTTTATATTTTTATACAGTTGCATAGTTTTCATTGGGTGGGTGGATATACCACAGTATTTTCAGTCAGGTCTCTATTGGTGGATATATGAGTTGTCTTTTGTTTTTTGCTCTCATAACCAATGTTGCAGTGAATGACCTTATACATGTGTTATTTCATAGTTAAAGTGGCTAAGGAGACCCCAGACTCATTGAGATTCATGGTCTTTCTTAGGAAAGTATTTTCTTGCCACCCAGAGGGACATGTTTGTGGGTATCAGATGTTCTTTTTGTGTGCTAATGACTGGAAGTTTTGTTTTTTAATGTGATGTGTGATATGAAAGTCGCTCAGCCGTGTCCAACTCTTTGTAACCCCATGGACTATACAGTCCGTGGAATTCTCCAGACCAGAATACTAGAGTGGCTAGCGTTTCCCTTCCTCAAGGGATCTTTCCAACCCAGGGATCAAACCCAGGTCTCCTGCATTGCAGGCAGATTCTTTACCAGCTGAGCCACAAGGGAAGCCCTTGTTTTGTAAGGTAGCATTTACATCTTTTATATCTTCATATTAGTACTTCTGCATCATCTACTCTCCTGAGAGTTCTATGGCTAACTTTGGTGCTTTGTCTGAAAGATAATGTCTTATTGTTTTTCACATGAATATTGTTGAATAAATAAATCTCAGTATCCACTAAGTCAGGTATTATGTTAGGTGCTTTATCTTGTGAGATGGTATTTCATTTTACAGAGGAGAAAACTGAAGCTCAGAAAGGTCAAGTCAGTTGTCCAAGGTCATAGAGCTTACTAAATGGTGGAGCCAAAATGTGAACCCAAGTTTCTATGAATCCAAGCCTGTATTCTTATTCTATGCTGCTGCTGCTGCTGCTAAGTCGCTTCAGTCGTGTCCGACTCTGTGCGACCCCATAGATGGCAGCCCACCAGGCTCCCCCGTCCCTGGGATTCTCCAGGCAAGAACACTGGAGTGGGTTGCCATTTCCTTCTCCAATGCAGGAAAGTGAAAAGTGAGAGTGAAGTCGCTCAGTCGTGTCCAGCTCTTCACGACCCCGTGGACTGCAGCTTACCAGGCTCCTCAGTCTATGGGATTTTCCAGGCAAGAGTACTGGAGTGGGGTGCCATTGCCTTCTCCAGGGGATCTTACCGACCCAAGGATGGAACCCGGGCCTCCTGAATTGTAGACAGACGCTTTACCGTCTGAGCCACCAGGGAAGTCATGTTTTCCTGAAGGCTTTTTCATTTTTTGAGTCACAGAATATTTTTTCCCCCTGTTTCTGAATTATCAAAATAGTTTCCCTGTTTTCTCTGGTTGTCAAAATAGGACATTCTTTGACACAGATAGATTTAAGATTTTTTGTAAGGTTTCAAGGTAGTCTTTGGATTAGTTTGTTGATCTTCTTGCATTGTGGTACTAGTGACTTAACTGTGGATAATATCTTTGCTCAACAGATGTATGTAGTCTGATAAGATGTAATCTCTGCTTTATTTTTAAAATTTTATTTATTTTAATTGAATAATTACTTTACAGTATTGTGATGGTTTCTGCCATACAGCAACATGAATTGGCCACAGGTATACATGTGTTCCCTCCTCCTATAATCTCTGATTTAAATGCTGTCTAGGATTTTTCTCTTCCCTGGTCCTGGTTTGTTCTTTTTTCTCTGTCCTGATTATGGGAGTGATAGCTCTGGTCCTCTGACCTTCAGTGAAGATGCTTGGTTATGAGAATAGGAAATTTCTGACAGTTTTCCCACTTACCACAACAGGCACAGACAGTATGAATGCTGGGTAGTGATAGGGATAGTTAACTTTAGAATCCCCAATAAAAGGGCTGGAAGAATTGAAAAGAATGAAAAACAACCGGGATGGGAAACAGGGAATCGGGTCTCAAGGGACACTGAAGAAACAGAATAGCATAAGGATTAAAAATGTGAACTGACTCCTCCTGGCTTGGTTGTAGTCCTGGCTCCACCATGTAGTAGCTGCAGACCTTGGGCAGTTATCCTTTTGGGGCCTCATTTTTATACTGGGGATAATAATAATACCTACCTCATAGAGCTATTGTAAAGATTCAATAAGGCTTGTAATGTATTTGACCCATGGTAACTGTCTAACAAATGTTATCAATATGAAGGGTGACAGGAAAATGAAATGGGGCACTTAGATTCCATACACATGGTATTTGTCATGGTATTAAAGTACTTCCTCAATTTTAAGATGTACTTTTTTATGTTTTGATATTATTAAAAGTGCTTAAGTCAACGAGTATATTTAATGTGGTAGACAGTGTTTTTTTCCTCAACATCTATTCACTCAATAGTTCATCTTCAAATTGAGAAAACCAGGTATTTTTTATGGCTTACTGTATGATTTATGTCATATGGTTTGGTATTAAATAGCTCATTCAGTAATACAAATAGCTGGTAACTCACTATTTATTGACTATAACAGCTGTTAGTTTTTGGATAATTGTATTTGGCTACAAGACAAAATGTTTTGATTGTGTAGAAATTTGCACAAAAGATAGAAGGTGTATATTCCTAATGTCATTTACAGGACTTTAAGCTGGTACACATAGCCTTTTTTCCATTTTAGTTATATCCTGTGAAATACCTAATTACGAAAGACTTCAGGATGAAGAACACCTGAAATCTTCCTTACTGAATTTTTTGAACCTTCTTATTTTACTATTTGTTTTTATATTTACCTGTAACTGCTGTCTTTGACATTAAAACATTGGAATATATTATTGCTTTGTTTAACTTCTTAAGAAGAGTCAATTTTTGACAGGTGGTAATGAGACTTTTTCTCTCAAATTTTAAGGTTATTTGGCTGTATCTTTATTTCTACATGAAAGTCATGAACTATTGCTTCTCCTTGTGAATACAGTTGTAAAGGTACTGTATTTTGTGCTGGTTAATATAAAGTCTTAAATTATTCCTTCAGGCATTTGACAGTTTTTATATTTTTGAAAGAATGTAGGCTTGCAGAATGAGTTTATTGGAAAGATCTTTTAGATCATTTTCTGCATCTGTAAAATGAGGATAATAATAGAACTTAACCAAGTTGTGAGGGTTGAATGAAACACTCTACAGAACAACATTTGCTACTGCTGCTGTTATAATGGTTTCATTTAAAAAAGCAGAGTTAAGGAAAATAAACTCAAAATGGTCTAAAGACCTACATGTAAGACCTGAAACTATAAAACTCCTAGAAGAGAGCATAGGTGCAATACTCTTTGACATAAATTGTAGCAACATTTTCTTGGATCAGTCTCCTAAGGCAGAATAAATAGAAAGCAAAAAATAAACAAATGGGACCTAATTAAACTTAAAAGCTTTTGCACAGCAAAGGAAATAACTGATAAAATGAAAAGACAACCTACGAAATGGGAGAAAATATTTGCAAATGATGGGACTGACAGGGCTTGATATTCAAAATACACAAACACTCATACAACTCAATATAAAAAAAGTAAACAATGCAGTCACAAAATGAGCAGAAGACTTGAATAGACATTTTTCCAAAGAAGACATGTAGATGGCTAACAGGCAATGAAAAGATGCTCAACGGCACTAATTATTAGAGAAATAAAATCAAAACCACAGTGATGTATCACCTCATTGAGAATGGCTATTGTTTGTGAATGGCTATTGTTTGTGAAAAATAAATGTTGGCAAGGATGTGGAGAAAAGGGAACCCTTAAACATGCTTGGTGGGAATGTAAATTGGTCAGCCACTATGGGAAACAGTATGGAGATTCCTTAAAAGACTAAAAAAGAACTACCATATGATCGGGCTGTTTCACTCCTGGGTTTCTTTCTGGACAAAACGAAGACACTAACTTAAAAAGGTACATAACCTCAGTGTTCATAGGACTGTTTATAGCAGCCAAGACGTGGAAACAACCCAAATGCCCGTCAACAGACAGTTGGATTAAAAAGACTTGGCATATGTACATAATAGGGTATTATTCAGGCATTGAAAACAGTGAAATACTGCCATTTGTAGCAATGTGGATGAACCTAGAGAATACTATGCTTAGTGAAATAAGTCACACAGAGAAAGACAAATACAGTATGATATCACTTATATGTATAGTCTAAAAAATAATACAAATGAATGTATATGCAAAATAGAAACAGACTCAGACAGAAAATGAACTTGGGGTTACCGTAGGGAGACATGGGAGGAACAACTTAGGAGTATGGTATTAATAGATAACAAATTACTGTACATAAAATAGGTAAGGAATGAGGATAGCACAGGGAATTAATTATACCCATTTATCATATAATAGCCTACAATGGAGTATAATCTGCAAAAATTTTCTAAATCACTATGCTGTACACCTGAAACTGATACTATATTGCAAATCAGCTATACTTCAGTAAAAGAATAAATAAAAATAAAAAAAGCAGAGCTGAAACTATGATTCAGATCTCCAGACTCTTAGTTGGGTGCATTTTCCATGCTGTTGTCTTTTTCTCTAGGATTTATGTTAAAGGGATATGATATAAACTGAATAATTGAAGTCTTTTAAACTCTAAAAGTCAATTTAATGGAGAATAGAGTATAATTGGGTAACTGAAATTATGATAATAAAAACACAATTTAATCCACATGCAGTATTTTTTTCTGTTAAACTTTTAGACAAAATTGGTAACGAAGTATAATTGAATTGAACTTTTTCATGTTTATCTTGTTCTGGTATGTGTGTGTGAGAGAGAGAGAGAGTGTGTGTGTGTGTGTTGCTTTCTGAATTTTAAGTCATATACTCTCTTAAGGTTACTAGTAGCTTTAAACTTTTCCAAACTTTCAAAAACATAGTTTCAGTTTCTATTAAAATAGTTTATAAACTTTGTGCTTATATAAGTATATATAAATGCATGCATTTTATAGTATGTATTTAAAAATTGCTTCCTTTTAAATTTCCGCTCATATTATTGCTTTAACAAATAAAAATTCATAAATTTTTTTTGTTACTTGTTTAGAAAAGTTTTAAAGGCTGTAATAAAAAAGACTACTTTGGTCAGTGTCAAATCAGAAATACAGTTTCCTTTAGATCGGTTACTTTTGGGCTGTTTTTATCGATTGATTCTATTAAGGCAAGTGAAACACTGATACTCCTATAAAATATGAGGTATTCCTAAATGGACAAATAAGTTGAAAACTACAGTATTAAGTGTATAGGACCATTGCAATGTTGAGCTCACTGTTCCTAGTTTCAGAATTTGCACTGAATGTTTTCTTTGCTTAATAATTATGTCAGGACTTGCAGAGCACTAACCTAGTAGAAGTATGTATGGCACTTACTGTCGTCAGCCAGATTTTCCCTCGAGAAATGATTCCAGCTGTTCTTCCATTGATAGAAGATAAACTTCAGCATTCTAAGTAAGTAAATTCTTTTTTGGATAGGTGTGTATTTCAAAAGAAAAACTTATACTAAAAATTTTTTTCTAACTTTAATGCTACCAGGATAGAGGATATTCTTTGACTGCCAGGTATAATACAAAAGTCCCCAATAGCACTGTCCTTTATTTTTATGTGGGTTTAGAAAAATGTTAGGCAGCTTTCTAAAGTTAAACTGAGACAGTGAGGCTTACCATCAGGAATCCTTGGCTCTCTTTCCACTTCTGCTGCTAACTATCAGTGGTCCTGTTTTTTCCTTGGCTGTATGGGGTTGACTGAAGCTCCTTCGTTCTCACAGAGTTGTTTTATAAAGTGAAATAATGGAAAACATTTGGAAGTGGTTCAGAGCCCATGAATACATAGCTTCAGTGTACTGGAAATGCTTTTATACAAAAACTGCAGCTTTCAAATTCTATTTTATAGCAGGATATGTACAAATAAACCTTAACTTGTAGTATTTTGCTAATTTTGAATGATTCCTTAACTCTCTCCTTATTAACTTGATTAGGATTTTTTCCAAATTTGGAATTAATTTGTTTTTGCTCAAGCCCCTTGATTTCATAACCTTTATAGCTAGGAAAATGTTTAGTCACTAGCCATTTTTCCTTTGTGATTGCAGTACTTTATTGCATACAGATTTTTGTTAAAGATTTTTTTTGTTACCCGTATAATATCTCTTTATGCTTTTTTAAGTCAATATTTTTAGTGTTCTAAGATTATAAAATGTTGTCTTATGGTTTGTGTTCTTTAAGAAATCTTGGACCATGAATCTTCCAGCTAAAAATGTTAGCTTTTACTGAGAATTATGGAGTAACTTTATAGATTTTTCAGACTTGTTTTGTTTATGTTGAATCAGTGTTTAGAACAAATGATGGGCATGGACAGTTAACTACTGGAAATAAAATATTAGCCTTTCTTTATTTAGAAGTTGATCTGATCATAGCTGAGCATATTTTTATGAAATTTTTCCATACCACCACTGTTTTGTGGTAGCCATACTTACCCTTTGTATGAAATCTTTCTGAGAAAGATTTGGATTTTTTTCCTTGTTGCTTTCCATTTACCCGTTCAATTTTTTCCATGTTGCTTCCCATTTACTCTCATTTCAAATCCTGGCCTTTCCTGTCTTCTACTAGTTAGAATTTAGACTTTCTGAAACTCTGCTTTTGCAGTTATGGCCATATCTACTTCCTTGCTGTGGAGTAAAGAGCTAAAGACAGAGTTGTGGGCCACAGCTACAGATGGGCGAGTAGATGTCACAACGAAGCAGTGAGACAGGGCTTGGACTTGACTTTTGAATCCTTGGTTATATTTTTGCATGCCAGATCTATGGCCCAAATCCAGGTTTTTTGATACTTTGTGTTATTGCCACCATTTTGGGCCAGACCAAGGGATTCCTGAGCCTGATGAGGGTTTGTATTCTTTTTCCTCACCTCATTTATTTACTGTGTCCTGGAACTCATGTTGGTTAATACCCAATAGCAACACATTGGGATGTAGATTCCAGTTACCATAGTATTAATACTAGTGGCAAATCTGTTGTTAATCTGCTTTCTTTTTATGTGAAAAGGATTTTCCATCATGACATAGTTTACCCAGGAAGATAGTGGGTTGCTTGTTAATGCAGAAGCTGGATGGCCATTTGTTAGGAATATTATAAAAGGTATTCTTGAATGGAACACAGAGGACTACATTGAATAATCTCAATTTTGAGATTCTAAGATTTTAGGTAACAGAAATATGTCTTAAGGAATCCTAAAAGTAAATACTTCACTACTGCTGTTGTGAACACTGCCAGCATAATCTGCAGATATGAGCCATGTGGAAACAGGCATGAGAGAGAAAAACAAGAATATAATTCCTTGAAAATGACATTGTGTTCACAGGATAGCAACTCTTTTATTTTTGCTTCTTGTGTGCTAGACATTATCTGTTACAAATGAAGTGCACGACTTGTATATACTTTCCTCCTCATTGTAATGAGGTTTTTGAAACATGAGCTGGGCAAGGAGAGGAGTAACATCTTTTAATGTAAGTCCCCCTTATACTCTCCCCTGCCCCACTTAAGTATTTGGAATATGTTTACCTGTGATATAAAAAAAGAAATATAAAAAGTTAGAATGTTAAGGAGACTTTAATGTTAATGAAGAGACTGTTTAATATTACTAGCTGAAATTACTTCTTACTCACTTAAACTTACTATTTATTCTCTTCCAATCTTTGGAGATATGGCTTTCAGAAATGGCAATTGGGAATTAAGAAATTGTTTATCTTTCTTGCTTTGTTTTGGTTTCAAAAGTAATATATGCTTGTTGTCAAAGAATGTTGTAACTAAAGAACTATATAACATGGAGACTTAAAGTCTCTTGAGGTCTTACTTACCTCCTAGAGATAACCACTATTTTATAGTTTGGTAAATTAGAATAAAAATTAATAATAAATGGGTAATTCTCTCTCTTTTTTTAGACTAAAGTAATAGCTGGTATTTTGAAATCATCTGGTCCGTAATCTTTTCAGCCTAAATGCCTGGTATTTCCAGGTGGTTTATTTAGATTTTATTTTTTATCTTTAGGGAGATTATACGAAGAAAAGCCGTTCTGGCATTATATAAATTTTATCTCATTGCTCCTAATCAAGTACAGCATATCCATGTTAAGTTTCGAAAAGCACTTTGTGACAGAGATGTTGGAGTCATGGCTGCTTCCTTGCACATATACTTTAGGATGATTAAGGTAAGTTGACATTTTGTGAAGTTACTGAGAAGCTATCTTTAGAAAAATATAATTATGTAATTAAAAGAAAACTCATATTTTTCAGTAAAATGCATAAGCCACATTTAAGTTTGTATTATTGACCCTTTAATAGTAATTTTTGCATGTTGTTAATAGCATGAGTTGCAGACACATTATAGATTTAGTCTTCTTTTTTAAATGCCTGAAATTTTTTCATGTTATGAAAGAAGCACGGAAAAATGGTAGCTCTGGAAGATGGTTGAAATTTACAGATTTGTGGATTTTCAAGAAGTGGCTCCTTTTTATACAGCTTCATGGGATACTTACAACAGCTTATAAAAATGAGGAGAGCTGGTGGGGAATGTGTAAGGCATAGTCTGCAGAAGCGGTCCCTAATTGTTTTGGCACCAGAGACCAGCTTCGTGGAAGACAATTTTTGCATGGGTTGGGGAGGGGGAGGATGATTTTGGGGAGGATGATTTTGGGGATGAGTCAAGCACATTATGTTTATTTTGCTCTTTATTCCTATTATTATTACATCAGCTCCACCTCAGCTCATCAGGCATTAGATCTCAGAGTTGGGGACCCCTCTGGTCTGTTGTGTTGATTCCATACATTGGTTCTGTGTTAGAGGAGGAAGGAGGATTAAATGTTATAGTAAAAATTTTTTTTCTAAATGGTGATATGAGGTTATACTAATTCAGCCCCAGTGTATTGCTTCAAACCTTTTGTGTCTGAAAGTATATATTTGTGAGAGATTTCATCATACCTCATAATGCTATTGAAATATTTTAAAATTATACAAACTGAAAGTTATCTTTACTTTTATGCATTACATGTTCCAAAGTAGTATGGTATAAATAGATAATTGATATTAAATCTTATTTTCCTCTAACATTTATTAAACTCTGAGAGAGCTTTTATTTCCCTTCCAAAAATTTGTCCTTGATACATATAAAAATTACAGTGAAGAGTCTTAACATTCATTTTGAGGAATATGTATTTAATTTCCCTAATTCAGGTAGATGGTTACTAGACCTATAGTTGTGATCAATTTGTAATGTATATAATGTTGAATCTATGTTGTACACCTGAAACTAATATAATATTGTAAGTCAACTATACTTCATTAAAGAATATAAGATGAAAAAATTTCCTAAGTCTGATAGATAATCAAGGCACACTCATTCAGAATCACAAATATGTTTAAATACTATAGAGTTAATTAATTTTTAATAAGCAGGCTCGCTGATTTGGGGAGCTTTGAATGTTTCAGTAATGTTGGTTGTGCTCTTCCACCCAGAACATAATTTAGTTCAATTACATGGGAAGTCTTTTGCAAACAAAATTCAGAGATTGCAAACAGGCCTTGATTTTCATCTAAAGTAGAGAGATTACTGCTTTTTTCAGTATGCCAGTTCTTTTCAATTTTTAATTGCTGATACTAGCTATTAAAAGTTCTAAGATGTAATTATTGAACTTTGGAAAGGTAATTAAACTGGTGTGTGGGGGCAAGTAGGGAATGGTGGAAGCTTTTAGGGGCATGATTCACTTCTGAATCTGGTCACCAGATGAGTTTCATTGTGGAAGAAATTACACAAATCAGAGGACTGTTTCATTAAATGTGAACATGAGACTTCTAAATAAGCATATACTAAGTTAGATTCTGCATAACATTTCAAGCAGGTCTGTTTTATTTTTAAGATATTGTTACTAACAAAGTTTTTTTGTTTTATTTTTTGGATATAGGAGAATTCATCTGCATATAAAGACTTGACTGGGAGTTTTGTAACGATTTTGAAGCAAGTGGTTGGAGGAAAGCTCCCAGTAGATTTCAATTACCACAGTGTACCAGCACCATGGTTACAAATTCAGTTGTTGAGAATACTAGGACTTCTAGGAAAAGATGATCAAAGGTAAACTCTTCTAAGTAAATTTAATAGTCTTAGGCTTTAGGCATGTAGAGGTTCATGATAAACCAGATTCTCCCAGTGCTTAAGTTGACTTAGTAGTGATAAGTAAGCCACACTAAGAAGTGTATAAATTCAGCTTGTTGAGATAATCCTGGCTTTCTGCTTATCTAAGTCCACTCACAGAAAAAGTTACCTTTGGAGCTCCATATCTTCTGTGAAACTTTCTGAATCATTCTAGTTTGGGAGTTGGGAAGCTTTTTTATAAAAAGCAAGATTATAAATATTTTAGACTTTGTGGGCTCTATGTTGTCTATTGCAACGTGTTAACTCTGCTCAAAAGCAGCCATAGATAGTATGTAAATGAATGAGCACAGCTCAGTTCCAAATATGGATGTTAAAACTTGAATTTCATATAAACTTTATGTGTCATGAAATTTTATTCTTTTGATTTTTTTTCAACCATTTAAAAATGTAAAAACCATTTCAGCCTATAGCCAATATAAAAACAGACATCTGGCCAGATTAGGCATGCAGACTATAGTTTGATGACACTATTGCTATAGTGGAACAATTAATTTTGTCTGAATTACTCTTTTAGGCAGTAATTTTATGAAACTTTTTATGCATGTCTTTCCAGTTACATATATGTTTTGTGACTTTTAATTTTGCTGTAGTTTTTTAAACTTACAGAAAATTTCCAAGAATACAGGGAGCTCTCTACCTAGATTCATCAGTTATTGATATTTGCTTTATCATTCTTTCTCTCTTTTCCTGTATGTGCATGTGTGCACACATTATTTTTATTTAAAATTTTTTTCTGAGCTGTTCGAAAGCAACTCAATTTATTTCCTTCAAGAGCATGGACCATTGGCTGAAGTCCCTGATGTGTTTCTATCTTGAGAACATATTATTAATCAGATTCTGACTTTAGAGATACGGTTTTGTTTTATACAGTAAGGTACATGTATTTTGCTAATTCTTTAGTCTTGCCATACTACCAGATTGTCCTCCAGGCTATTGCTCCTAGTAAAGCCCTCTCAGCTTCAAGTCAGAATCCATCTTTGGTGAGCTCCTAATGAACACCAGCTGGGCTGTATCACTCTTGGTATTGCTATTTTCCTTTTTTCTATCTTTATGAATCTCAACCTTGGTTGAACCCTGGGGTGAAAACCTGGAGTTGATGGAGCAGACACACACATTAGAAATGTTTGTCCATTGTGGAGCTCTAGTTGAAGCTCACTAGAATTGTTTTAAAACCATTCGTTTCATAGTAATGCATTCAGATCTCATTGGTCCAGAAAGATTTAATGCCATCATATGTTGTCAGAAAGTTACTTTGTAGGCATTAGTGAATTTACTAAATTAGTTAACTCATTATTGTCCTCCTTTCCTTCAAGGATGAATTTGGAGAATACATACAAAAATGAATGTTTACAGAGTTCAGAGAGCTCAGTTGAATAGAAATTAGACTTAATTGAGTAAAGAATATATCTCTTTTACAGTGTTATGGACATTAGAATGTTTTCTCCTTTTTTGTCCCAACTCTAATGAGATTTTATGTTAACATGTATTTCTTAAGACATGATATGCTCAATGTGGCAAAGTAAAAATGTTATTTTATAACAGGATTCTAATATATTTAATTGTAAGTATTAATTTACTGGAAAAGTCTTACATTTATGGTCTTTTATATCTATTTGAATATTTTCTTGTGTTTTATAGCACAACCTGCTTCTTAGGTTATTGACATTTAGCTCCATCATGTCTGCAAATGTTTCCACATTTTGTGTGGTTAATTATAACTTCTACATTGGCTTTTAAAATTGGGAAATTATACTGTAATCTTAAGTGTAGTATTACCAGATTTTTTCGGGGGGGGAATATTTGTAATGTCTACTATATGATTGTTGTCTGTGGAAGAAATGCTTACATAAGAAAATGAGGGATTTTAAAATATGGTTCTGAATTCTCAGTTGATATGTATACTTCAGTTAAGGTGCAATAAAAGTACATGCACTTCAAATTGAGTTTTATAGCTGTATATTTTTTTAAAAAAGAAGACATTTTCTCGGAAACTTGTAACATACATTATAGATAATTTGTATAGCCCAAGATTATTTTGATCTTTTTGTTTTGTAGTATAGTTTTTCTACAAGAAACTACTGTGTATTTCTTTGTTGATGGTGCTTTTTTCTATTAGTGCTTTTTGATTTTATAAAACATACAAAAATATCAGCTGAGAAGCCATATTTTTCACCATTGGCCTTTTAGAGAGGACTTTTCCCTGGAGAAAAGGTGTAGTGGCAGAGTGCTAGGGGTCTATAATGCACCGCATTTTTGTATAGTTTCTAGCTCAACTCAGTTACTGTAATTGTAATCTGTGACCATAGAGACATAGAATGGTATTAATTTGTTAATTTCATAAAAATATAATTTCTTTATATTTAACATAAATGAAAGTTAAAATTTTCTTTCTGAAGAACCTGCTGCTGCTCAAAGAAAGACTGATACTTGAATATTTTTTAAAAAAACAAAGTATTTAAAATACATATACTATACTGTCTGGAATAATCTGGATATGTGCAGTATTACTATAGTAACTTTAAACAGGTAGAAATATATTACAAAGAAAATGATAAAAGATAGAGTGTTCAATCAAATGAAAACCCGTATTTAAAGTAGGTACAGATTGAAGAAAGAGTTGATTGACTTTCCTCATTGGCTAGTGAGCTTTGATAAAGCAGAAGGTTAAACTCTTAAAAAAGTGAAAGTGGAATATTTAAGAAGTGAAATTCCTGTAACTTCATAAAATGAATTTCTTTCACTTCTTTTCTGTAGATCCTCAGTTTTAAAGAGAGAGAAGTTTGAAAAACTATGTTTTATTGGGTTATAATACTATAATTCTACTGCAAATAAAATATCTTTTAAACAGGACAAGTGAATTAATGTATGATGTTCTTGATGAATCCTTACGAAGAGCTGAGTTAAATCACAATGTCACATATGGTAGGTAATATTTGTGTAAATGCTGCTCTAATAATGTTTTCAGTATTATAGCTAAATCTGTGTTAGAATACTGTGAATTCCAGTAAATTTTAAATTTAATTTTTAAGGTGGTTTTGGGTTATTATTTTTCATTGGAAGTATTAAATAACTAATAACGATAATTTGAAATTATGTCATTGTTTTAAATGTTGACATAAATTAACTATTATAATTGCCTCTCTTTTAAAGACTTCATTTTTAAAGAGAAATTGTCTATTTATTGAAAATGTTCATCAGTCAAGCATCTGACTGTGACGATAACCCAGTAGATCTATTCCATACTTAAGAAAACAGTTTTCAAATAAAGCAATCAGTCATCTAGTCACCAAATATTTGAGGTTTTATTATTTACTAGGCCCTGTGCAAGATGCTTGGAATACAATTGTGAACAAAACAGTGTTATCATTGAGCTCCTAACCTAGAGAGATGGAAAGGGACAGGTACTATGAATGTTATAGAGGCAAATTACAGGGTACTGTGGAGCATATAGCAGCTATTCTTCCATGAGGGGAAGGATGAGGAAGACTTTTCTGAAAAAGTGATACTTAAGACAACTAAAGTTTGAAGGTGAGATAGATAAGAATATATAGATGTGGAATAATGAACTTTGTAGTGAAGAGATAGCAGCTGTTTATGTTAAATACAATTTTAAAAAGTCTTTAAGTGATAAGAAACAAGAGTAAAATGGGGGAGGAGGGAGAAGAACTGAGAAAGGTAACCAGTCTTAATAGCCAGAGGGAAGAACTCTTAGTTCTTTATTGATCAGCTTGAGAAAGCTTATTGAAGAAAGTGGGATATTTTGAGATATTTAAGTGATAGAAGTGAAACAGTTTGAATTTTGCCTGCTATGGAGATGAGCAGTAGAAGAGGTATTGAGACATGTAACTCAAATGAGAAGTCATTTCTTAATCTGGTGAAATACCATGAAATAGGGGATAGAGAGGAGTATTTGTTCTTTCAGGCAATGATAAACTGCAAATCTTAAATAATAATGGTTGTAGAAATGTAGAGAAAACTAGAAGGCAGAAGTTGAACCAGTTTTAACTGCAATAAAATTGAAGAAAGGATTGCATCTATAAGACTAGTATAGAAAAAGTAATGTACATGGTAGTGAATTTGGATAGTAAATTTTGAAGGATAGATTTATGTTTTGCATGTATAAATGGTAGTTAAGGTAACAAGCATGGTGTTCATTTGTTCAACCAGTATTTATTGAATTCCTACAAAACAAAAGCTTAATTTTTAAACTAGATACAAGTTGAGGAAAGAGTTGATTTACTTATGTGTTCGTCCCTGCTAATGGTGGGAAATTAAAGGAAAAATAAGGTAGACACAGGCCCTGCCCTTCTAAGTGTATAGTATAATGAACAGTTGATGTCATCTAGGATCTTACTGGAACTTACCAGGTGGTGCTAGTGGTAAAGAACCCGCCTGCCAATGTAGGAGATGTAGGAGGCTGCAGGTTTGATCCTAGGGTCGGGAAGATCCCCTGGAGGAGGGCATGGCAACCCACTCCTGGATTCTGGAGAATCCCATGGAAAGAGGCTGGCTACAGTCCGTAGGGTTGCAAAGAATCAGACATGACAGCGACTGAGCACACACACAGGATCTTCTTATGCAATGAGAAGAATAAGGCACCAGAGGTAAGGATGATCCTTATTGAGGCAGGTGGTTTGGCTAGGAGCTGTCAGAATAATCCAAAGTAGTGTCAGAATTTTTTCAGGCAGCTAAAGTAAATTAAAACGTTTTGTTTGAGATATAATTATTTTATTGGATAGGTAATATATGCACATGGTTCAGAAATCAAAAGGTACGAAAGGGTATAGAGTGAACAAAGTGTCCCTTCAACCCTTGTCACCCACTCCTGTAGATAACTGCTGTTACCTGTTCCTTTTGATTTAGAGAATATTGTGTACCTGAGAAAATAGTTTTTAATGTTCTCCATTAGGACATCCTTCTATTAAGATTGAGGAGACCAATGCTAATAATTTGTTTCTTTGTAGTCTGTCAGTCCAGTGTTTAACCTTGCCAGAGAAACTTAGTTTCTGTCGTTTTCTTTATTCTTTTATTTACTTCTGTTTGTTCTGCATTTCCCCCCATATTTGTACTGATACAGTTTATAGCTTACATTTATCAGTGGTAGAGTATTCTCTAGTAAACTTAATATAAATATCTTATTGCTTAAACATATGAATATTAAGTTATAAACTTCCTAAGGGCCGGTCTATCTCTGTCTTATTGGCTAGCATATCCCAGTATCTGGCACTGGGTTAATCAGTGAGTAATATGTTTTAATTGAGTTAATAGAAGAGAAAAGTTATTTTACTTTTGGTCAGTTATCTCATTGGGTTTCAGTCTTAATACTTTCCAAACCATATTTAAATTAAAGTTTCATTATTATAACTTACCTTAGTGTCAAATTGAGAAGTAAATCATATAAGAGGCATTTATTGAGTGAATCTGCTATGTGCCAGGCATTGTAAAGTGATATAGAGGATATGAGGAAGTATAAAATGTAAGCTTTGCCTTCAAGGAGTTTACAGTATAATGGAGGACATAACTTCTTTAAGAAGGCATAATACCAGTATAAGGCAGAATGCAAAGGGGGAGGTAAAGGGAGTAAATATTACAGGATTCCAGAGGTGGTTAAGATCACCGTGGGCTTCAGGGCACCTAAAGATTTATTGATATAATAGGACCTTGAAAGATAGGATTGAGATAGCCGGAAAGGAGGTTAAAAGCAGTTCTAGGCAACGGGAACATGAAAGAGCGTGCAGAAGTGGGGGTGTTTAAAACCCCCCACTGTTTCAGAAACAGTGACTTGGCAGCTTGATTGGACAGTTAATAGGGGGAGCAGTGGGAAGGGTATATTGCAGACATCCTTCTATGGCAGCCATAGGAGTTTGGATTTTATACTGTGTAAATATGGAGATACGGAATAATTTTGAGGAGGAAACTAATAAGATGAGAAGGACATTTTTAGTAAACTGTTTACTAAACTGGGAGATATATAAAATGAAATACAAAGGATAGAACCATTGAAAGTAGATAGAAGTACTTTAGGTGTACTCTACCCACTGCTGCTGCTGCTAAGTTGCTTCAGTTGTGTCCGACTCTATGCGACCCCATAGACGGCAGTCCACCAGGCTCCCCCGTTCCTGGGATTCTCCAGGCAAGAACACTGGAGTGGGGAGCCATTGCCTTCTCCACTCTACCCACTGAGTACACCTAAAAACTCTGAACATTATATGTAAAATAAACACATGAGACTCTGAAGCATGGATAAATGAAGGTAGACTGATGAGGGACATTGGCATGTAAGGAATGACTCCAAGGTTAGTACCCTGGGTTTTCTTTTTGCCTTGTATGCCCCAGACTGGGTACTGGAGAGCCAGCAGTCTGAAAATGCCAACAGGTGCAGACAAAAATGCTCTGAAAAAAGCCTACTCTCTAGCCAGAGGACTCAGGCAAAAAGGGCAGACTAGCAAGATGGAACGGAGAAGGCAATGGCACCCCACTCCAGTACTCTTGCCTGGAAAATGCCATGGACGGAGGAGCCTGGTAGGCTGCAGTCCATGGGGTCGCAAAGAGTCAGACATGACTGAGTGACTTCACTTTCACTTTTCACTTTTATGCAGTGGAGAAGGAAATGGCAACCCACTCCAGTGTTCTTGCCTGGGGAATCCCAGGGATGGGGTCGCACAGAGTCGGACACAACTGAAGTGACTTAGCAGACTTAGCAGTAGCAAGATGGAAAACTTTTAGACAATAGTTTTTCTATTGCAGTCAAGCACCACATAGAAAAAACTATGGACTACCCAGAGCAGCAAAGGCTAAATGAAGAATCAAGATTTCCATCCTCATCAGGTGTAATGAGGTGCCCCAACCCTCCCATGGAGCTGGTGGTGAAGACCAAGAGGGCAGCTGCAGTTTGATCCCTGCCATGTGTCAAGAGGGACCCTCCCTGGCATTGCCAGTGGAGATGATGTGGGAAGCCTGGGTTTTACATCATCAAGGAACAGAGAACAATGAGGTACCCATCCCATCTTTCCTGGGGTGGTGGTAGAGGAAACTTGGTGGAGTGATAGGGCTTTTTACTACTAGTCAGGTACACTAGAGCCACCCACTTGTTCCCAGTATAGGTCACATTGGGAGCAGTACCAGGGTGCCCCTGCCATTCCAAGTGTTAAAGGAGGCAGAATGGAGAAACTGGACTGCCACCCTCATTGGCTGGTACCCCCATCTCCTTGCCAGAGTGGTGATAGTAGATAACTTATTTAAAATGAAAGTAAAGTCTAGTCTGAAGGATAGAGTAATCAGTAGAACTTCTTCAAATTTTATGCATAATCCTACCCAAAATATCTATGATAAAGCCACAGTGTATCACAAATGTTAGAACATTATTAATTTGGTAATTTTTACTTAATGATATTTTGGTTAGGACCTGGGTTGCTCTGGAGGAGTAAGCAAAGCTCCACATTGCATTTTTTCCTTTAGGAGTCCTCAGAGGCACTTTTGTTTTAACCACTGCAGTGAGGAGACAGTGGAGTGACTGCTTTTTTATCTGTGGACTTAGACTTTCATAAAGTTGGAGTATAAACAGCCTTAACCTCTAAATCATTTTAAAATAATTTAAAAGCTTATTTTTATTTGAGTTCATTTATGCCAAGTTAACTAATAAGTGTAATTTTTGAACTATTAATTTTATTCTATACCTAAACTAGCAGTTCTTTTAGGTTCTGTGTAGATCATATAGGTTTCTGCATATATTCTCCTTTTTTTTTAACCTTTAAAAATGTAATTGTACCCCTAAAACTAATACTTTTATATATCAGTTATATCTCAAAAAATATAAAAATCATCCTTAGTTCACAGTTTACAAAGATAGGCTGAAAGCTGGGTTTAATGGTATTTTGCCTTCTCCTGCCTTAGTTGATTAATTGACCAAGAATTTCTCTGTTTACTTCATGAAGTCATAAAATCAACTTTAAAAAAATTTTTTTCTTTGAAAACAGATCTATTAAAAAAAAGAATTTTATTTATTATTTTGGCTATGCTGGGTCTTTATTGCTATGAGGGCTTTTATCTAGTTGCTGGGAGTGAGGGACTGTTCTTTAGTTGCGATGGGAGGGCTGATGATTGTGGTGGCTTCCCCTGTTGGGGAGCACAGGCTCTAGGGTGCGTGGGCTTCAGTAGTTGGGGCATGTGGGCTCAGTAGTTACAGGTCCTGGGCTCTGGAGCACAGGCTCAATAGTTGTGGTGCAGGGGCTTAGTTGTTCTGCAGTTGTTCTTGGTCTTCCTGGGCCAGGGGTTTGATAGGCAGATTCTTTACCACTGCGCCACTGGGGAAGTCCAAAGTCAACTTCTTTTCATAGCATCGATTAAAGACTTTACAGCATAATATCTGTAAACATCTTTTTAGGTTCAGTTGACTTTATAGGTTTTCCTTTAATTAAAGTCTATTCACTTCTTAAAAAGATGTTTATTTCTTAAAAATGCTTATTTCCAATTTCTCCTCTCTCCTTATTTAGAAAATATTTATTTTTTTAAAAGTTTTTACCCAAAATGTTTATGTGTCTCAGTTGATAGGCAACTTAGCAGTGTAAAAACATAGCTAGTTGAATATTCAGGCTCTATTTTATATCTTGTATATGAATAAATGTTTGATTGTTGTGTTTTAAACTTTTGGAAAAAGAGCAGGAGTGATTCTTTCAAAGATATGATATGCTTCAACCGTGTGTGTTAGTTGCTCAGTTGTGTCTGACTCTTTGCGACCCAATGGACTGTAGCCTGCCAGGCTCCTCTGTCCATGGGATGAATTCTCCAGGGCAAAAATACTGGAGTGGGTTGCCATTCCCTTCTCCAGGGGATCTTCCCGGCACAGGGATTGAACCAGGGTCTCCTGCATTGCAGGCAGATTCTCTACTGTCTAAGCAACCAGGGAAGCCCTCAACTCTTGTGTAGTTGAAATGTTTTGAAGTCTGCTTATTTTTGTTTAATGGTGCCTAAATGATTCTTCTTTACATGACCAAGCTCCAGCTCTTTGACTCTTGATCTTTAAGAGAGTTTGAAAAATATTTTAGTGTCCATTTTGATCATCTATTATAGTTACCAGATCTTTGATGAGACTAGAAAATCAAATTTGAAGACTATCAAGATGTTCAGTAGATTTTCTATAACCTTGGAGGTTAATTTTTAAGTTAATTTTTAAAAAATGACTCGAGTTTTGAGTATAAAAATTTTGAAGTAAATGCTAGAGCACTCTAAAATAATTATATTGAACTAAACCACATTGAAATAGACTACGTATCCAGTTTCTGTGTAAAAGTGGTAGAAACTGCCTGAGAATAACTTATTTTGAAGCATTTAAGGAGTGTTGGAAGTATCTATTTATATAGGAGTAGTGAATATATTACTTACGTGCCCATTAGAATGTGAGTTCCTTGAGGGTAAGGGTTTTTGTCTCTGCTGTATTCATACTAGTAGAACAATGTCTGACTCATAGAAGGTTTCAGAAAATACTTGTTGCGTGGATGAATATATCATTCTTATCTTTTAATATATATAGTTCTCTCTAATGTGTACTGTGGCAACATAATCCTAACAACTGTATAAAGCCTGAAAATAGTAAAATTCTTATCTTTGAAAAATTTCCATAAGATTTTTGACTAAAACTGACCTTCTGATTAGTTTGTTTTGTTAGGAGTTCTACACAGATATATCTTTATTATGGCTTAATATGATCTCTGAAGTTATAATATTTTATTTTTCTAGCTATTTTGTTTGAATGTGTACATACAGTCTATTCTATTTATCCTAAATCGGAATTGCTTGAGAAGGCTGCCAAATGCATTGGAAAGTTTGTTCTGTCACCTAAAATAAATCTCAAATATTTAGGTAAGATGATTGGTTCTTTTGATGGAAATTACTAAGAGAGCTTTTTGAAATTTTCTGAATATTTGTTTTAAGTCACTTTATGTTATTTAATCTTTGTTTCTAGGACTGAAGGCTCTTACTTATGTTATCCAACAGGATCCCACTCTTGCTCTTCAACATCAGATGACAATAATTGAATGCTTAGATCATCCTGATCCCATTATTAAAAGAGAGGTAAACTGGTATTTTGAGTAGTATATGTGAAACAATTTTTAAACATTTTGTTGGTTTTACAGAGAACAATTAAAATTATGGGCATTTGCACATGTGTGTATTTTAACTTTCGAATGCATTTTATTTTTTCTACTGAAGTTTAAGGGACTTTTCTAAAAAGTACTTGTACCAGTAACCATAAGAATGGTTTTAAATTGTGAGTTGGAGAAGTGAGGAAGGTGTAACTAGGTGGTGCTAATGGTAAAGAACACCCCCTGCCAGTGCAGGAGACGTAAGAGACATGAGTTCGATCCTGGGTCAGGAAGATCCCCCAGAGGAGGACACAGCAACCCACTCCAGTATTCTTACCTGGAGAATCCCGTGGACAGAGGAGTCTGGCGGGCTACAGTCCATAGGGTTGCAAAGAGTCGGGCACAACTGAAGTGACAGCACACATGCATGCACATACCTGTATAGGATTCCTTAATATCTTATTGATCCAATGATTGTATCAATAGAAGACCAGAATTCTTTCTAGTTCTTCCTATTAGTATACTTTTAAGACTTAATTTATGATAATTAATTTTTTCACTATTTTCCTTAACATCTATAATATGGGCTACTTTATTCCTTATTGAACCTGTAAGAATGTTGATGGGATTAATAAGGATAGGGACTTCCCTGGTGTTTCAGTGGTTGGGACCCCATGCTGCTGCTGCCAGGGCACAGGTTCAGTCTCTGCTCAGGGAGTTAAGATCCTACATGCTGCATGGTATGGCCAAAAAGGATAAAAAGAATTAGTAAAGGTATCCCTAAACTGTTCTGAACTTCTTGGAAGGAAAGGTGTATAAATCTACTTGATTTTTTTCAACTTTTTCCTTTTATAAAATTGCTTCAGTATCTGCTTGGGTGTTCTAGTTAGATCTGGTAATTCTCATGTAGAGACATGATTCTGTACCTTCATTTAAAATGGTTTGGGGCCTAATTAAGAAGAGTGATTGTTTTATTTCTGATTTTAAAAATAATGAAGATAAAAAGATAAATTCTAGTAAACATTATTTAAAAGCACTGAATTAAAAGTTTATTGAAAGGACATTATTACATTGAATAATTATAATTTTACAAAAATAAGATTGTGAATGTTGAATTCTAAAGGTACTATTTTTGAAATAATGTTTCTGAGAAATTGCCATCTACATATATGCAATATATATGCATATATAGTTTGGATTCATATTTTTGATTTTCTAAAAAATTGTTACCTGCCTTGAATGAATCCAGAAATTTTATGGATAATTTCTATGTGTAGAGATCATAGAAAAATGCAAAGATGCCAAGGGACAGTAACAAGTAATTATATGACTCTTCTACTTTGAACAGATAGAGAGCATGCCTTTTCTTTGTGTGGTTAAGTTGAACAGGGTTGACTTGGGTACAGTTTTCTTAGTTCTGTGCTTAATTATTTGGATTTAATTTTAAAATGAGAGTTAAAGAGAAACAGACAACTTCTAAAATTATCAGGTCTGGTCTGCAGTGAGAAAAGTAGTTTGAATTCTTTGGGGGAGGAACTGGGTATCAGTGGTGCCCAAAGAATGCACTGTAGTACTGTTTCCTCAATCCCACTGTCATTTCTAACCTCCGCCAGTAATTATGTGGCAAGAGCTTTGGTCCTGGGGTATGGAGTGACCTGTTGCTTGGGTCTGGGATTCTCTTTTACCTGATTGTATTACCTTTCTTTCATAACAGGAAAAAAGAAAGCATGAAGGAGTTAATAGAAAAGACCTTCTGCTATGCAATTCCTAATACCATGCCCCATTCAGTCCTGGAAATGCTAAGTTTCATAGTCTTAGAGTAGGAATTAAATTTGGTGTAGATTATCTTAAAATACATGACTTAGAGAGCCTACAGGAAGGATGTCTGAAGCAGCTTTATAAGTGGAAAGCTAGTGATGGGGGATCTATGTATTTATAGATTTTAAATGGTGTTAAGGATTAACTGGAACAGTTTAAAAAAAAAACTCAAAATCTGTTATCCTTTGTACTTGAAGTCCTGGGTATAAGGATTGAAAAATTAGGAAGAACCCTAAAGAAATCTGAACAGATTTAACAAGTAGGGTATATAGAAATTCTCTTACATTTTTGATTCTGAAATGCTAGTAAAGGATGCTTTCTTATTGTTGCCCTCTGTTTCATACTGAATTCTGAGAACTATGATATTTGTGGAACCTTAATGTAGGGCCTCAGAAAGCTAGGCAAATGGGAGTTTACTCTGGTACTGGTTTTCCTTCATCTTACTTGAGGCAGCAAGAGGTGTATTCCTCAGCACTGAGAAAGCCATAAAGCAGTTCTTCCTTGATACCTGAGATTCTGAACATAGGCCTTGCTGCTCTTTGAAGTGCTTGCGCTGCCTTATCCATCCATGAGAGACCATTTGCCTTTAGCTGACAGATCCACTCAAGTGCACTTTTCTGTTCAGGAAGTATGGAAAAGCATTTTGCAAGACTGGATTTTTGTATGTGTATGTATGTACTCAAAAACACACGCACATGCATAGTACGCAGGCATGTGTAATGTAGGCTTAGATGCTTACTCCTTGGAAGGAAAGTTATGACCAACCTAGAAAACATATTAAAAAGCAGAGACTTTACTTTGCCAACAAAGGTCTGTCTAGTCAAATGGTTTTTCCAGTAGTCATGTATGGATGTGAGAGTTGAACTATAAAAAAAGCTGAGCACCGAAGAATTGATGCTTTTGAACTGTGGTGTTGGAGAAGACTCTTGAGAGTCCCTTGGACTGCAAGGCAATCCAACCAGTCCATCCTAAAGGACATCAATCCTGAGCGTTCATTGGAAGGACTGATGTTGAAGCTGAAATGCCAGTACTTTGGCCACCGGATACAAAGAGCTAACTCATTTGAAAAGACCCTGATGCTGGGAAATGATTAAAGGCGGGAGGAGAAGGGGATGACAGAGGATGAGATGACATCACTGACTCAATGGACAGGAGTTTGGGTAAACTTCAGGAGTTGGTGATGGACAGGGAGGCCTGCTGCGCTGCAGTCCATGGGGTTGCAAAGAGTCGGACATGACTGAGTGACTGAACTGAACTGAAGAAGCTGCTATATTTTTAGAAAATAGATTATAAACCTTTTAACTTTTTGGTGTTTGCATGGCCTGTCATGTAGAGATGTCGGATCATAATTATCTGTGTCAGTTGAAGGGTTTTAGACTTTTGAATTGATTATAATTCCTTTTTTTTAACAATGGTTTTACCTTTCTAAAGTTCTATTCTGGTTAAAATGTGTATTTATGTTAACTGCCCAGTAGAGCTACATAAAAGTGGAAGAATCAACTATTATAAACCTTTGAAAGTGAAAGTCGCTCAGTCGTGTCCAACTGTTTGCGACCCTATGGACAGTACTGTCAATAGAATTCTCTAGGCCAGAATACTGGAGTGGGTAGCCTTTCTCTTTTCCAGGGGATCTTTCGAACCCAGGGATCAAACCCAGGTTTTCCGTATTGCAGATGGATTGTTTACCAGCTGAACCACCAGGGAAGCCCAAGAATACTGGAGTGGGTAGCCTACCCCTTCTCCAGGGGATCTTCCCAGCCCAGGAATCAAAGCGGGGTATAAACCTTTATTTTACAGTATTTATTGGCGTTATTATGCATAGTTTTATAATACTGCTTTTGTTTTTCTTTCTTGAATAGACTCTGGAACTTCTTTACAGAATTACTAATGCACAGAATATAACAGTGATTGTCCAGAAAATGCTTGAATATTTACATCAGAGCAAAGAAGAATATATTATCGTCAATTTGGTTGGAAAAATAGCTGAGCTGGCTGAGAAATATCTTTTGGGCCATGAGTCATAAAACACTTTTTAGTTACACAGTGACTTTATTTATTTTTCAAAAAATAAATGTTTTCCTTTTTTTTAACTGAATTTTTTGGTCACCAAAAACATTTTGTATTGAGGTAGAGCTGATTAACAGTGTTGTGATAGTTTCAGGTGAACAGTGAAGGGACTCAGTCATATATATACATGTATCCATTCTCCCCCAAACCCCCGTCCCATCAAGCCTGGCACATAACATTGAGTAGAGTTCCATGTGCTATACAATAGTTTTTTGTTGGTTATCCATTTTAAATATAGCAGTGTGTTACACAGTGACTTTTAAAATGATTGGTATAGACATAGTCACTTGTAGGTTAAGTTCAGAGTCCCAGCAATAACCATTCCTGACGTTCAAGCCTTTCTTATTGTCAGAAACAAAAAGTTGTGTAGACTTTCTGGGGGATGACTTTTTTCCTGGTTCTTTTTATTCCACTGGGCAGTATTATCAGCAGGAGTATACAGGAATCTCTGATTCTTCTTTTATCCCTTCTTGTCTTTGACTTTAATTCCTACTCAGTTTCTTTCCTGAGTAAAAGTTCTTGTTGTTTGGGGGAGATTGGTGAGGATATCGGTATGCTAAAGTTTAGCCTTTACATGATTATTTATACTGGGAATGGTCACAAACTCCATTCACATGTTACATTTCTTCACATTTGTTTTTAAAAAGTCAGACAAACTTTACAGGCCCCAAGGTCACTCAACATTCTTTTTAAGATGTTTGTTGTTTAATATTGAATGAATGAATGAATGAGTAATGTCAGTCAAATTATCTTGGAATGCTTAAGTATAGTTTTGTCCTGGCCAGGGCTATACCCCTGGCTAGAATTTTAGAACTGAAGAGGAGCAGATTAGAAAAGAGGGTAAACAATTGTTCAGAAAGACATATCACAACACTTAACCTCTCTGAAGTGCATATCATTTTCCATTATGTATTTGTCCACAGTCAACTGGAATATTTCTTTCAGTTATTTCACATTTAATTGAGTGCCTATTTTGTCCAAGATATGGTGCTAGATAAAGCACCGTAAACTGGTTTACTAAGTTTACTAAATAAGCTTTAGTGAGCACCTATTTTACACAAAGCCAGGGTATAGAAAAACTTATTGGCAGAAGTTAAAATTATAAATGCCAAACTGGGATGAATTGAGGGTTATTTTTTTAAAGATTGATTCAGAAAGGGTAATTTTAATAAGTGGCATTTGGAAATGTACTTGTTCTTAACACTGTGGACACATATGCTCCTGATAATGCATGGTTTATTCAGACAATGAATGCTGTATTTTCAGTGGGAGGAGATGTGATGCATCCTGATATTCCCAATAACTTTCTGAGACTGCTAGCAGAAGGTTAGTAAACTATTGCATTCTGCAAAGATTTTAAAATTGAATGTTTTTATTACAGAGTCCTTGGAGAATTTAATGGAAATTAAAATGTTATATCAATTCCTTTGTAGGTTTTGATGATGAAACAGAAAATCAGCAATTAAGACTTTATGCAGTTCAGTCTTATCTTACTTTATTAGATGTGGAAAATGTGTTCTATCCACAGAGATTTCTTCAAGTTATGAGTTGGGTAAGCAAAGTACATTGACTCATAAATGTTTATAGTATTATTTTTTATAAAGAGAAATACTAATAATGTATTTCTTCAGAAATCATTTATTTCAGATCTGTTAACTCCTTCAGCTGCTGATTTTCTTTCCCAGTGGCTACCTTCTATCACTTACCTATTTTCTTGTGTACAGCTGCTGATTTTATTTCCCAGTGGCTACCTTCTATCACTTACCTATTTTCTTGTGTACAGCTGCTGATTTTCTTTCCCAGTGGCTACCTTCTATCACTTACCTATTTTCTTGTGTATTCATTCTCTCTGCCATCTCACTTGAGTAGTCTTTTAAATATGGGTGTTTATTTGGATGCCTGTCTGTGTTCAATGCATTTGTTGTGAATCTATATATGAATATGTGAATACTGATGAAGCTGTGGTATGCTAGCTTTCTGTTGTTGCATAATCATGTTACCACAAACTTAAAGCAACATACATTTGTTATCTCACATTTTCTGTGGGTTAGGAGTTCAGGTATGGCTTAGCTGGGTTTTCTGCTTAAGGCTTTTTAGGGTTGCAATCTAGGTGTCCCTTGGGGCTGCTGTTTCATCTGAAACTTGATTAGTAAAGGATCTGCTTCCAGGCTCATATGTGGTTGTTGGCAGAAATCAGTTTCTTGTAGCTCTAAGGCTGAAGGTTTGATGTTCAGACTGTTGACTCTTGGCTGCCCTTGGCTCTATGAGTTGTCCTCAGTATCTTGCCATGTGGGCCTCCCAACATGGTGGCTTCCTTCATCGAAGCCTGCAAGGGATATCATCTCTTTGCAAAGTGAGGTTACAGTTTTGTAGAGTATAAACCTACATAATCATATACATCCTGTCACCTTCGTATATTCTTTCCTGTGCATGTGAGTGAGCATTTCTCTAGGGGGAGATTTGGAGAAGTGCATCTCTGGGTCATAGGATATTCACACTTTAATATTTTACGGTTTTGTCAAATGTTAGCATGTCAAATTAAATTTTACCCAGACTTTTATTTAAGAATTGTTTTTTCATTTATTAGAAAGATGAAAAAGTGGCATAATAAATACCCCTGTACAGTTCATCTAGATTCCCAGTGAATGTTTTTAACTACCTTTGCTTTACTTTATCTACATCTATATATATAGCTGGGTCTACGTATATGCATTTGTTTTGTTGAGCCAGTTTAAATTGAGTTGCAAGACATCATAACACTTTCCCTATAAAAGAATTCAATATGAATCTCCCAAGAGTCACATTCTAAATAACCATAAAACCATTATTGCAACTTAAAAACATGACCTTAATTCATTAATGTCACCCAAAATACAGTCCATATTTATATTAATCCAGTTGTCCAACAAATGTCTTTTATGAAAATTTTTCTGTTCCTCCTTACCCCATATCCAGTCAAGGTTCACAAATTCCTTTTAGTTTTTCTTTTAGCCTCTTTATTTTATAGTGATCCTCAGGTTTTTTTTTTGTTTGTTTTGTTTTCATGACATTGTTATTTTTTTTGTATAAATACTGTTGACTTGTAGAAAGTCCAGCATTCTGAATTGGACTGTCTGGTTGAGGTAAACATTTTTAGCAGGAATACAACATTGTCAATATGTACTTCCCACTATATTGTATCAGGATGCATATAATATCAGTTCCTCCAATTATTGGTGATTGTTAATTTCTTTGGTTAAGCTGGTGATCTTCATATTCTCTCCATTGTAAAGGTGCCATTTCTTCTTACTAATTTAGAACTGATCTGTGAGGTGATTCTAGGAGACTGTGAACATCTGTTCTTCAGCTGTCTTTCATCAATGGTTTTAGCATTGATAATCTCTGCCTAAATTGATGGCTGTATTTGGTAGCCATTTGTGTATGTTCATATATTTAGAGTGTTTCTTTTTCTACAGTATACAAATCCTGTACCTGTTTTGTTAGATTTATACTTAGATACAGATGGTCCCTGATTTAAGATAGTTCAGGTTAAGGTTAGGGTTATGCTGATGCGAAAGTGATACAAATTTAGGAGAAACTTCAAATTCTTTTTTTTTTAAATTGAAGTATAGTTGATTTACAGTATTAATATTAGTTTCAGGTGTACAGCATGTTGATTCTTTTTTTTGCAAATTATATTCCGTTAAGGTTATTACAAGATTATGGGTCTAATTTCCTGTACTGTTCAGTACATCCTTCTTGCTTATCTATTTTATACATAGTAGTTTGTATCTTTTAATCCCTTATACCTAACTTGCTCCTCCCCCCTTCCCTCATTCCACTGGTAACCACTGGTTTGTTTTATTATTATTTTTTTTTTATTTTATTGAATATAGTTGATTTACAGTGTGTTAATTTCTAGCATACAGCAAAGTGATTCACTTATACATATACATACATATTCTTTTCCATTATGATTTATTATAGGATTTTGATTATAGTTCCTTGTGCTATACAGTAGCACATTGTTATTTATCTATTTTATATATAGTAGTTTGTATCTGCTAATCCCAAATTCCTAATTTATATCTCCCCCAACCTCTTCCCTCTTTGATAACCATAAGTTTGTTTTCTCTATCTGTGAGTCTGTTTCTTAGATAAATTGGTTTGTGTCATACTTTAGATTCCATGTATAAGTGATATCTATGGTATTTGTCTTTTTCTTTCTCACTTACTTCACTTAGTATGATAATCTCTAGTTCCATCCATGTTGCTTCAAATAGCATTATTCCATTCTTTTTTTATGGCTGAGTAGTATTCCATTGTGTGTATATACCATATCTTCTTTAACCATTCAGTATGTTGATGGACATTTAGGTGGCTTCCATATCTTGGTTATTGTAAATAGTGCTGCGTTGAACATTGGGATGCATGTATCTTTTCAGATTATGGTTTCCTCTGGATATATATGCCCAGGAGTTAAGTTGCTAGATTATGTGGCAGCTCTTTTGTATTTTTTAAAGGAACATCCATACATCCACTGTTTTCTGTAGTGGCTTCACCAATTTAAATTCCCACCAGTCGTATAAGAAGGTTCCCTTGTCTCCACATTCTCTCTAGTGTTTGTTATTTGTAGGCTTTTTGAGAATAGTCATTCTCACAGGTGTGAGGTGGTATCTTGCTGAGGTTTTTGATTTGCCTTTCTCTAATAATTAGTGATATTGAGCATCTTTTCTTATGCCTGTTAGCCAGTTTTATGTCTTCTTTGGAAAAATATCTATTCAGGTCTTCTGCTCATTTTTTCACTGAGTTGTTTTGTTGATACTGAGTTGTATGGACTGTTTGCATATTTTGGAAATTAAGTCCTTGTTGGTTGCATTGTTTGCAAATATTCTCTCCCATTCTGTAGGTTGTTGTTTCATTTTGTTGATGGTTTCCTTTAGTGCAAAAGCTTTTAAGTTTAATTAGGTCCCATTTATTTATTTTTGCCCTAATAGACAGATCCAATAAAATATTAATACAATTTATGTTAAAGAATGTTCTTTTCTAGGAGTTGTATGATTCAGGTCTTACAATTAGATCATTAATCCATTTTGAGTTTATTTTTGTATATGATGCGAGGAAATGTTGTAATCTTATTGTTTTACATGTAGCAGTCTAGTTTTACCAGCAGCACTTATTGAAGGGACTGCTCCTTTCTCTATCCTATACTCTTGCCTCCTTTTTCATAAATTAGTGGTTTATTTCTGTATTTTGATGTTAAACTCTACAGTCTTGTTAAATTCACTTTCTAATCTAGAATTGTTTTTTTTTTTGTGTAGATTTCTTGAGACCATGTTAAGAATTTTTGCATCTCTGTTTATGAGGGATAGTGGTCTGTAGTGTTCTTTTTTTTCCCCCCTTTTCTTTTCTTTTGTTTTTTTCCTACTCTATTTGGCTTTAGTATCAAGGTCCTACTGGCTTCATAGACTTGTTTGGGAGTGTTCTTTTCTCACTATTTAATGGAAAGATAGGGTGTTGTTTTGTCTTTAAGTGTCTTGAAAATTTCCTGTTGTCCTTCCTGTTACTGATTTTTAGTTTGTTGTCAGAGAAAACACTCTTATGATTTCAGTTCTTTTAAGTCTCTTGAGGTTTATTTTATGGCCCTAAGATATAGTCTGTCTTGTTAAATGTTCTCTGGGTGCTCAAAAAGTATTCTGCTTATTGTTGGGTGGTATGTTCTATAGATGTTGATTAAATTCTTTTGGTGATGGTGTTGAGACCTGAATAAGTTGGATGTAGAAAAGAGAATGTGTAACATAGATCAGTGTTCCTCACATAGATCCTCTTGTGTGGATCATCTGTATCAAAATCAGATGGTATTTGTTCAGAATGTGTATTGTAGATCCCCACCACAGACATACTAAGTCAGATTATCTGGGAGTAGAGTCAGAAATCTGTATTTCTGTGAAACATTTCAGGTGGCTTTTATGCATGCTAGTGTGTGGTCACCACTTGTTTAAATGGTTACTGGAAAATAGTAACAGAATGTGAAAGTGCTTGTAAAAACCAACATCCAAATCTGGAAGTTCAGAAGAAAGCTAACTTGTAAAGATATGATGCTTTCAGTTCAGTTCAGTTAAGTCACTCAGTCGTGTCCAACTCTTTGTGACTCCATGAACCACAGCACGCCAGGCCTCCCTGTCCATCACCAACTCCAGGAGTCCACCCAAACCCATGTCCATCGAGTTGGTGATGCCATCCAGCCATCTCATCCTCTGTCATCTCCTTCTCCTCCAGCCCTCAATCTTTCCCAGCATCAGGCTCTTTTCCAGTGAGTCAGCTCTTCGCATCAGGTGGCCAAAGTATTGGAGTTTCAGCTTCAACATCAGTCCTTCCAATGAACACCCAGTACTGATCTCCTTTAGGATGGACTGGTTGGATCTTCTTGCAGTCTTAGGGACTCTCAGGAGCCTTCTCCAACACCACAGTTCAAAAGCATCAATTCTTCAGCGCTCAGCTTTTTTACCGTCCAACTCTCACCACCATACATGACCACTGAAAAAACCATAGCCTTGACTAGACGGACCTTTGTTGGCAAAGTAATGTCTCCGCTTTTTAATATGCTGTCTAGGTTGGTCATCACTTTCCTTCCAAGGAGTAAGTGTCTTTTAATTTCATGGCTTCAGTCACCATCTGCAGTGATTTTGGAGCCCAGAAAAATAAAGTCAGCCACTGTTTCCACTGTTTCCCCATCTGTTTGCCATGAAGTAATGGGATGGGATGCCATGATCTTAGTTTTCTGAGTGTTGAGCTTTAAGCCAAGTTTTTCACTCTCCTCTTTCACTTTCATCAAGAGGCTCTTTAGTTCTTCTTCACTTTCTACCATAAGGGTGGTGTCATCTGCATATCTGAGGTTATTGATATTTCTCCTGGCAGTCTTGATACCAGCTTGTGCTAGCTCAGCATTTCTCATGAAGTACTCTGCATATAAGTTAAATAAGCAGGGAGACAATATACAGCCTTGATGTACTCTTTTCCCTATTTGGAATCAGTCTGTTGTTCCATGTCCAGTTCTAACTGTAGCTTCCTGACCTGCATACAGATTTCTCAGGAGGCAGGTCAGGTGGTCTGGTATTCCCATTTCTTTAAGAATTTTCCACAGTTTATTGTGATCCATATAGTCAAAGGCTTTGGCATAGTTAATAAAGCAGAAATAGATGTTTTTCTGAAACTCTCTTGCTTTTTCGATGATCCACAACAGATGTTGGCGATTTGATCTCTGGTTCCTCTGCCTTTTCTAAAACCAGCTTGAACATCTGGAAGTTCACGTTTCATGTATTGCTGAAGCCTGGCTTGGAGAATTTTAAGCATTAGTTTACTAGCATGTGAGATGAGTGCAATTGTGTGGTAATTTGAGCATTCTTTGGGATTGCCTTTCTTAGGGATTGGAATGAAAACTGACCTTTTCCAGTCCTGTGACCACTGCTGAGTTTTCCAAATTTGCTGGCATATTGAGTGCAGTACTGTCACAGCATCATCTTTCAGGATTTGAAATAGCTCAACTGGAACTCCCTCACCTCTGCTAGCTTTGTTCGTAGTAATGCTTCCTAAGGCCCACTTGACTTCACATTCCAGAATATCTGGCTTGATGCTTTATATATTGTTAATGATAAAGATGTGAAAGTCGTTTTTGTATTCACTTCCAGTTCATGGTAGTGGTGTTTAGTTGCTCAGTCGTGTCTGACTCTGTGACTCAATGGACTGTAGCTCACCAGGCTCCTCTGTCCATGGAATTTTCCAGGCAAGAATATTGGAGTGGGTTGCCATTTCCGCCTTCCCAATTCATGGTGTAATTTTGACCTAAAATATGCAATTTTATTTTTAATAATTTTTTTTACCATGAGAATATACTTAGTATAGAGTAAATTTACTCTGCAGACACTTTGTTTAGATTTCTGAGTATAATTGCTATCTAAGTTGATGTTTGCATATATTCATTTCTTTGTTTTACTTACAGGTGTTAGGAGAGTATTCCTATCTCTTAAATAAGGAATCACCAGAGGAAATTATAACCAAGCTCTACAAGTTACTTAAGAATGACTCCATTTCTTCAGAAACAAAAGCCTGGATAATAGCTGCTGTGACCAAGTTGACACCCCAAGCACACTCTTCTAATATAGTTGAGAGATTAATCCAGGAATTTACCACATCTTTGGATACTTGCTTGAGACAGCATGCATTTGAATTAAAACACTTGCATGAGAATGTAAAACTGATGAGGAGCTTACTTCCAATCGATAAGAGTTGTGAAGACATGGTGGTAAGACATCTGCATTCTGTCTTTTTAAGGGTTGCATTGTATTTAAAAAGAATAATTTTTGCATTTGTGATATGTCTATAATGTACCAAAATGTAATTTCTGTAGCTCTTAAGATGAAGATTGGCATTTTTCTCATATTAGTGTGAGAAAGCATTGGAGAGCTTCTATTCAGTTGTTGTTGTTCAGTTGCTAAGTTGTGTCTGACTCTGTGACCCCATGAACTGCAGCACGCCAGGCTTCCTTGTCCTTCATTATCTCCCTGAATTTGCTCAAACTCATGTCTATTGAGTCAGTGATGCCATCCAACCATCTCTTCCTCTGTTGCTCCCTTCTTCTCTGTTCAGTAGTGATCCTAAATAGTAAGGAAGACTGATCTGTTCTGGAGAACTGCTGTGGAAGGGGTTTATATTCTGTGACAATCTCTTTTAACATATAATAATTGGAGAAATTCAGAATTTTATCTCCTTTGAACTTCTCTAATATATCATTTTATTATTACTCTCTTTGAGAATGTAAGAAAAAAAATTACTCCATTTTATTTTATGCATCTACTATCTAAATCTTTACTACTTTGGAACTTAATCACTCACCTTTCCTTCTCCCACCTGTTTTCAGCACCAGCCCCTTTTAGGCAAAGCACTTAGTTACTTTTCACTTCGAGTTCTCCCTTAGATTGGTGTAAATCTGAACACTTAGAGGAGGAAGTCAGATTTTTCAGATTTTTATGTTAGATGTCATATTCTAGAGGAGAGGATGGGCATTCCCACTAATTACGATTCCGATGGAGATGCAGATTTGATCTCTAGCCGGGGGAGATCCCCTGGAGGAGGAAATGTCATTCCAGTATTCTTGCCTGAAGAATCCCATGGACAGAGGAACTTGGCTATAGTCAATAGGGTCGCAAAGAGTCGGTCATGACCAAAGTGACTGAGCACATTCATGGCTTGTATTCATTTTAAACCTTTGTACATTAATTTTTTTCATTAGCTCCTCGTGGGCAGAGGCCTTGGTTTAACATTCCTGAGACTATATGAATACATATGCTATTAAACTAGTTAGTAACTCTCCTTCCCTTTCTGCCAGTGAAAGATAATGATGATGACATAGCTTCATCTATTTAAGAATCTTATCCAAATGAAACTTTTCCAAATTCAGAGTGTGAGATGCCAATTAAATGTTTGAGAATTACCTGCCGTTCTAAATTATCTGGGCTGGTTGTATACGCTTAGCTAAATCAGGAGAAGCAGATCTGTGGTTTCTGAGGTCATTATTGCTGTATCCTCTTGTGTATCTTGTTTTTCTTTCTCACTTAATTTTCTCTTTCTCCTTTTCCTCTTACTCTTTTTTCATCTCTTTATTTCTTTTCATTTAGCCTTTCTCTTCTTGTACTTTGTTAAAATTAAGTTAATTTTCCACAGATTTGTGAAAAAACATTTCTAGGTAGAAAGGAATAGGATAGTGAAATCAGTGTGGGAGGCTGGATAACAGCCCTCCCCAAGATATTCACATCTTAATCCCTGTAGCCTGTGCATGTGCGTGTGTGCGCTAAGTCATTTCAGTTGTGTCTGACTCTGCAACCCCTTGTTCTGTAGCCCACCAGGCTCCTCTGTCCATGGAATTCTCCAGGCAAGAGCTCTTGCCTGGGTTGCCATGCCCTCCTCCAGGGTATCTTCCTGACCCAGGGATCAAACCCGTGTCTCTTACATCTCCATTCTCAGATGGGTTCTTTAGCACTAGTGCCACCTGAGAAACCCAGTCTGTGCATATGTTACTTTATGTGGTAAAAGGGACTTTGTAGGTTTAATTAGGAATTTTGTAATGGGGAGATTAATGTGGATTATCTGAGTAGGCATGTTATAATCATGAAGTGTCCTTATAGAAGTGAGGCAAGAGGTCAGAGAGGAGAAGGCAAAGTAACAATAGAAGCAGAGATTGGATGATACAGCCACAAGCCGAGGAATGCCTCTAGAAAGAGACAAGGAACCTGTTCTCTCCTGGAGCCTCTAGAAAGAACTAGCCTTTGCCACCACCTTGTTTTTAGCCCCCAGCAGGAGGAAACTTCTTCCCTGCTTCCCTGGTTTATCAGAGGTTAAAGTGTCTGCCTGAAGTGTAGGAGACCCGGGTTCGATCCCTGAGTTGGGAAGATCCCCTGGAGAAGGAAATGGCAACCCACTCCAGTACTCTTGCCTGGAGAATCCCATGGAGGGAGGAGCCTGGTGGGCTACTACAGTCTGTGGGGTCGCAGAGAGTCGGACACGACTGAGTGACTTCACTTCACTTCACTTCAGGAGGAAACTAATGAAGACAGTATAGCTCATAGTGTATATGTCTTCTCCTCTAGTAAGTTACAAGTCTCATGAGGGCAGGTCTTGTGTCTTCCCTTTTCTGAATCATAGCATCCAACATGATTCCTTAACATATTGGATGCTCAAAAATGTATTCTGCAGTGCAGTGAATTAATAAGTGCAAATGACTTATATTGTTAGATTATTAGAGCTGAGGGATTTGATTATTGATGTTTCAAAAAGCTAGAGAGTTGAGTAGCAGTTTTAGAATTGAAGCTCTGTTTTTCACTTAAAAATTATTTTTAGGAAATGTGGGCTAAAATTACTTACATGAGTGTGCAGTCTGCTGTTTAGGGTAAGTGTTTTAATTCCTAATTTTTGCTTTACTTAGGTAGATGCTTCCTTATCTTTTCTGGATGGTTTTGTGGCTGAAGAACTAACACAGGGGGCAGCACCTTACAAACCTCACCACCAGCGGCAGGAGGAAAAGCTTTCTCAGGAAAAAGGTAATTTTTCATGAATTTATAATAAGTTACATTGTAGGGACATCACTTTTTCATGCAATTGATATCATAGTCATGTAAGTATATAACTGAGAAGAATTTTTATCCCTCTTTAAATCTGTTTGTGACTTGTTCACTGTGGCCTTATTTGGGGTAAACAGAAAAAAAAAAAGAGGGGTTCCCAAAGTCATAGGTTTCATGTACATAAGTGCCTCAGACCATCCTATAATTTTAAAAGAACTTGAAGGTAGAATTATCATGTTGGTCACTGTGCTAAAGGGCTGACAGATGTTCCTGTGAGCATTTCTGCAGAAAAGCTTCAGAAAAAAAATGCTGGTTACTATGGACTAGTGAGTTTCATTTTCATTTTGAACAATCTTGTGTATCTAATCAGTGAGTTTAGTAATGTCTAAGAAAGGAAATAGTTACATTTTAAAAAGCTAGGGTGTCAGGGAAAGACTTCTCTCATGATTTTAGTCGAGAGGAGATTATAGAAATATTTGATGGTGGATGGGAAATGAATAAAGGGAGACCATTGACTATTATATATATAGGAATTCAGAATGTTAATACTAAAAAGTTTAATGCTGAAATGTCCTTTTTTTGTTCTAGTCATTCTTTAATGATTTTGTTGAGTACTTGTTAATCCAGGCTCTGTGCTAGGCATATGAGTTCAAGTAAATGGATGATCCTACGATGAAACCAAAAAGTATAAACTTGTATATGATAGGCTTCATGGTATTTTTTTGTAGAAGTAGAAGAATTTTCTCTTTTAAGGTTTCAGTTCAGTTCAGTTGCTCAATCGTGTCCAACTCTTTGCCACCCCATGAACCACAGCACGCCAGGCCTCCCTGTCCATCACCAACACCCGGAGTCCACCCAAACCCATGTCCATTGAGTCGGTGATGCCATCCAGCCATCTCATCCTCTGTCATCTCCTTCTCCTCCAGCCCTCAATCTTTCCCAGCATCAGGCTCTTTTCCAGTGAGTCAGCTCTTCACATCAGGTGGCCAAAGTATTGGAGTTTCAGCTTCAACATCAGTCCTTCCAATGAACACCCAGGACTGATCTCCTTTAGGATGGACTGGTTGGATCTCCTTGTAGTCTAAGGGATTCTCAAGAGTCTTCTCCAACGCCACAGTTCAAAAGCATCAATTCCTCAGCACTCAGCTCTCTTTATAGTTTAGTACATTATTTAGTACAGTGAAACCTAATGGCATAGAAAGTTCTATTTTCCTTCAAAGGGTAATCAGTTTTCTTCTTCTTTAACCCTCATATAGAGGGGGAAATAAAAGTTTTAAATTATAATTACCCAACCTCTGACTCTAGTGCATGTCTTATGATACCCAAGGCACAGAGTGAAAAATGCAGAGTTCTGGAGTGGGAGACATGGTCCAGTTGCCATATTTCCTTATTTTCAAATGTTTGGGGGTTATAAGTTGCTCTTTTTTTTGACTGTGCCTTATGCATATGGGATCTTAGTTCCCTAATCAGGGACTGAATTTGTGCTCCCGCAGCAGAAGCATGCAGCCCTAGCCACTGGACCACCAGGAATTCCCTATCAGTTGCTCTTATTACTGCAATTCAAGGCTAGAATAGAGACGGGGAGGTAGGACAGGGAGCCTAATTTCTGGCACTCCCTGACTTCTTTCTTAAAATAAGTTAAGTGACTGAGACAAATATAAGAGCCCTTAAACTCCCCAAGCTAGTGTATTAATTTGCCAAGTACATTTTTAATTATAGATTCATCATTATAAATGGGGTTAAACTGTCAAATTAGGCTCTTCTCCTCTCCTCCAAAATCTATTTCTTAAAAGTTCTCTAAGGTAAAATTGAAATTTTATGAGCCTAAACTGTCTGTTCCATCATGGTAAGGAAATCAGTTACAAGATAGGACATAGTAAGTGCTTTAGTAAGTACTTGAGCGGTAAGTTATAAAGTCATGTATCTTACGATTTGATGGCAATGACAAGAAGTAAAAAATTGGTGAAAAATAGTACTTTCAGTCTAAAAAGTTGTTAATTCTGGAATCGTTGAAGTGTCAATTGGTTCTGATGCTGATCTTGTTTGAAATTTTTGTAAATAATTTATAGTTAAATGTCACTTTTATGAAGGATACAGTACTTCACTGTCTTGGGTAGAAAAATGCCAAGCATGTTAACAACAAATTTGAGGAAAATATTGTAAGATACTGAGAATTGGCAAAAATGGGTGGAATAGTGGGGAACAAACTTACTACCAGTTGGTACCCAAGAGAAGCATTGAGGAATCGGTGTTGATTATTCTGTTAAAAAAAAAAAAAAGATAATGGCATCCAGTCCTATCACTTCATGGCAAATAGATGGGGGAAAAAGTGGAAGCAATGATTGTATTTTCTTGGACTCCAAAATCACTGTGGACAGTGACTGCAGCCATGAAATTAAAAGACACTTGCTCCTTGAAAGGAAAGCTATGATAAACCTAGACAACATATTAAAAAGCAGAGATATCACTTTGCCAACAAAGGTCCATATAGTCAAAGCTATGGTTTTTCCAGTAGGCCTGTACAGATGTGAGAGTTGGACCTTAAAGAAGGCTGAGTGCTGAAGAATTGATGGTTTTGAATTGTGGTGCTGGAGAAGACTCTTGAGAGTCCCCTGGACAGCAAGGAGATCAAACCAGTCAATTCTTTTTTTTTTTTTTTCATTTATTTTTATTAGTTGGAGGCTAATTACTTTACATCATTGCAGTGGTTTTTGTCATACATTGAGATGAATTAGCCATGGATTTACATGTATTCCCCATCCCGGTCCCCCCTCCCACCTCCCTCTCCACCCGATCCCTCTGGGCTTCCCACTGTACCAGGCCCGAGCACTTGTCTCATGCACCCAACCTGGGCTGGTGATCTGTTTCACCCTAGATAATATACGTGTTTCGATGCTGTTCTCTTGAAACATCCCACCCTCGCCTTCTCCCAGAGTCCACAAGTCTGTTCTATACATCGGAGTCTCTTTTTCTGTTTTGCATATAGGGTTGTCGTTACCATCTTTCTAAATTCCATATATATGTGTTAGTATACTGTAATGGTCTTTATCTTTCTGGCTTACTTCGCTCTGTATAATGGGCTCCAGTTTCATCCATCTCATTAGAACTGATTCAAATGAATTCTTTTTAATGGCTGAGTAATATTCCATGGTGTATATGTACCACAGCTTCCTCATCCATTCGTCTGCTGATGGGCATCTAGGTTGCTTCCATGTCCTGGCTATTATAAACAGTGCTGCGATGAACATTGGGGTGCACGTGTCTCTTTCAGATCTGGTTTCCTTGGTGTGTATGCCCAGAAGTGGGATTGCTGGGTCATATGGCAGTTCTATTTCCAGCTTTTTAAGAAATCTCCACACTGTTTTCCATAGTGGCTGTACTAATTTGCATTCCCACCAACAGTGTAAGAGGGTTCCCTTTTCTCCACACCCTCTCCAGCATTTATTGCTTGTAGACTTTTGGATAGCAGCCATCCTGACTGCAAACCAGTCAATTCTAAAGGAATTCTATCCTGAATATTCATTAGAAGGACTGATGCTGAAGCTCCAATACCTTGACCATCTGATGTGAAAAGCTGAGTCATTGGAAAAGACTCTGATGCTGGAAAAGATTGACGATAAAAGGCGGAGGGGGCAGCAGAAGATGGGCTTGTTAGAGAGCATCACTGACTCAGTGAGTTTGAGCAAACTCCAGGAGATAGTGGAGGACAAGGAAGCCTGGCATGCTGCAGTCCATGGGGTCACAAAGAGTTGGACACCACTTAGTAACTGAACAGCAGCAGCAGCAACTCCTATCTACAAAATTAAGGATTTTTGAAAACCACATCAAGTTGAGACTGTTCGTCTCTCAAAAAATAAAATTTATAACAGCTGGGGGTAGTCAGAGACGTATAGCCAAGTGATCAAGGTATAAAAGAACTGCAGTAGAAGATAAGATAAAGAAGGAATGTGCATATAGTCAAGGCTTCTAAAGTTGTGAAGGATACAAACAAGTTAAATATTGAATTACTTATGCCCAGGATAGTTTGTATTTTTTATTTCTCACCTGGATTACTCTTGGTAGCTCCCAACTTCCGAGGACTCTCTCTGCTTCTAGCTCATGCTTTCTCTTCTGTATGATTTGCTCTTTGTCCTCCTTCTTCATCTGGTTAGCTTCTACATATTCACTAAGTTTCAATTCAGCCATCTTCTGTCTTCTCCTGACTCTCTGTATAGCATTATTCTCTTCCTGCTCCCCAGTTTGCACATATTCATCTAGTTAACTCTCTCCAATTTTTGTCTCTCTAGTCATTTATCTCTGTAAGAATCTTGGGAAATTTTCACTTAGTGAAAATAATGTGGTTTGAATGTTATTCTCAATATTAAGCCTTTCTCAGCCTTTCTTAGATGACAAGCTTTAATTCTTCTGTATCACAATCAGAATCTTAGCTGACTATTCTCCAGATATTGTCCTCTTTCATGTCTAGTCTTTTTTTTCCCCTCTATTTTCAACTTTTTACCTCTAATTTTGAATTCTCTCTGGTTTTTGCTTAAACTTTTTATCTTAATGTGCTCTTTGTCTTAAACTCTTGAAACATTTCTTGAGCTCTACTATTACTGAAGTGTCAGCGCAGAGGCTGACGGCTGACTGTCTCAGATGCTATTTAAAAGAGGCCAATATGGGATAGAAGATTAAAGCAGATGATTTGAAAGCTTAAAATGAGAGGATATTCTAGCTGAAAAGGACCTTATAAAGACTTAGACAAGTGGTTTCCAAACATGTTTAAGAATCAGAATCACAAAGAGAGTTTTGAAAAAATGATACAGATTTTTGATTCTTACTCCTATACCTTTTGTATCTGTGTCTCTGAAAGCCTGCTTGTGGGTATAAAAAGATCTGTAGATTCTGTGAAGTCAGCTTATTCTTGGTTATCTTGGAAACTGCTGATCTCCACTTTACAGACAAAAGAAATTAAGTTCTATTTCACAATCTAGTTAACACCCAACCTACATCAAGAACTGGTTCTCTTGATTATTATTAATGAGCCCATTATTTTTTTCTACTGAGAGGTAGTTCTCTTCTCTGTCTTTCATTTAGCTAACAAACAGGCTGATTTATTTAGTACACTTGGATTAGGTGGTGTTTCCTTTGAAGGAGACAGTGTGTAATATGATTGAGGGTGCAGCTCTGGAACCAGAGTATCTGATGTTGAATCTGCCTCTTTCATTTCTTGTCTTTGTACTCTTGGGTGTCTTCATGGTAGGCTCAGTTTGACCACAGTTTCCTCATTTGTAAAGAGAGGATAATGATTGCAGAAGTTTACATTTTATTTTCTGAGATACTTTTTTACTATTTAAGAAGGTTTTTAATGGCAAACCACTCTGGTATTCTTGCCTGCAAAATTCCATGGATGGTGGAGCTTGGCAGTCTACAGATCATGGGGTCGCAAAGAGTCAGACATGACTGAGCAACTTAATTTTTTATTGTAAATAGGCAATCCAAAGAGATAATGAGCCACTTAGGATTAAGTTTAGTTAAATAGCATGTTAGAAAACGGGGCCTTATGCAAGGCAGAGGGTATTGCTTTTTCCCATTAAAGAAATCTGGAAGTAGGCAGGCTAGTATTGATGATGGCTTTATGAACATAAAAGAGGAAGGAAGGGAGGAAGTTTTTTCTTTCTTCTGGGAGGATTCGTTCCAGAAGTTATGCACAAAATGTGCATATAATTTCATTGGTCAGAATTCAGTCACATGGCAGAAGAGTCTGGAAACGCCATCTCTTTTCTGGGTGGCTATTTACCTAGTTAAGAATGGAGGGTTCTGTAACTTAATGGCACCCCACTCCAGTACTCTTGCCTGGAAAATCCCATGGACGGAGGAGCCTGGTGGGCTGCAGTCCATGGGGTCGCTAAGAGTCGGACACGACTGAGCGACTTCACTTTCACTTTTCACTTTCATGCATTGGAGAAGGGAATGGCAACCCACTCCAGTGTTCTTGCCTGGAGAATCCCAGGGATGGGGGAGCCTGGTGGGCTGCCGTCTATGGGGTCGCACAGAGTTGGGCACGACTGAAGCGACTTAGCAGTAGCAGCAGCATTTACCTGGTTAAGAATGGAGGATTCTGCAACTTATAAGGAGGAGGAGAGTGGATATCAGCATCTGCTCTACCACAGTCACCATATGAATTTTATGGCTCTGGATGAATCACTTGGGTATACAGACTCAAAGGAACCTGAACCTGGGTAAACCTTGTTCTTTGTCTTACGAAGGTTCCATCAGTCCAGTTGGTACAGGAATGTGCCTAAGAGCATTTTGTGAAACAAAAGCATGGTCAGCTCTTCATAGTTCATTAAACATTTTTGCATGAGAAGAGCAATTTTTCAGTAGACCTGGTTTATCATTTGTCTTTCCTGGTTGAATTGTTTTTAACTTTGAAGGGAGATAAAAAAGGAAAGACTGTTTGTCTTTGATAAATTAATTGTCTGAAAACTGTAGTAGAGATTCAATAAATAATAGCTGCTTTGTTATTATTATTACTATAAATATTAGATTATTTCCCAAACCTTTTCCAGTTTAAAAATTGTCACTGAATTCTAGCATTCAGTTATTTTATTTCAGTGTTAAATGGTGCCTTTGATAATTTTTGCTTTTTTTTTTCATAATTTTTGCTTTGTTTTAAATATGCACCTCTGTTTTTGTTTTAAAATTCTAGTTCTCAATTTTGAACCATATGGACTCTCTTTTTCTTCATCTGGCTTCACTGGACGACAGTCTCCTGCTGGCATTTCTCTTGGTTCAGATATATCTGGGAATAGTACAGAGACCGGACTAAAAGAGTAAGTTTCTTTCTTATTAAAATTGAGAACATGGGCTGTTTAAATGTCTTTAAATGTTGAAGGGTTCCTGAAAGCTAAATTCTGCATGGGTTGTTGTTTCTATTTATTGCTTTCAAAGTGCTGATAGTGTACAGCCTGTCCTTATACTTTAAGAGAGCTTGCTTACTTCCAAGACAGTATAGAAAGTATACATGCTTTGTGTGTGATATTACTATATATCATGTATACACACACACATTTTTAAAGTAGTGTCTCAGAACTTATATACCCAAGTGAGTATTCAACATATCATTCCACATTTTTCATAATCTACTTCTTAAAACCATCTCATTGGAATTGCCATATATATAGATGAACATAAAATAAGGTGACAGACTTCAATTGAGAAAGCTGTATATTTTGTTCAGAATGCTTTCAGAGCGTCTTTCAGCCACCGTGAAATTTGGTGATACGTTTGTCTAAACGTTTTGATATGGAACCAAATCTTCATCCTTCTTAGGTAATTTTTATTTTTGAAATATGAATAAATTAGTAGAAATTATGATCAAGTTAATAAAATGAGATAATGTATGCAAAGTGCCTTGTATAACCCAGTACATAAGAAGTGATTGATAATTGGTAGCTAATATAATTAATAATTGTCATTGCTGTCATTATTATTAACCAAAAGCTGAATTTACTACATAAAATTAGTAGTCACTCTGGATAACTGGTCAGTATACAAGTGTGACATAAAATAATGAAAATGGCTTTCTTATTTGTGAAGGAGCTTCTTCTAAAAGAATTAAAAAATATTTTGTGTAATGGCAGCATTGTTGGAATAAATGATAAAATCTCATCGGTGACAACTTTGAAAGATGACATTTGAACTGACTCAGTGACCTTATTTTATGTTCATCTTTGCATTTGTCAGCGTTCCAGTGAGATAGTTATAAGAAGGATTTATCAAAAGAATGACAGAATATGAGGAACGTAGAATGATATGCCAAGTGAAATGGCATAAGTTCAAAACCTTTTTCCTAACCTTTTTCTCCCCTGCTCTGTTGACACCCTTTTCTTTCCCAGACATTTAATGTCAGCATTACAGGCACGGGGTGCAGAAAGGGTCCATGAACATATGATGGTGGTGGTGGTGATAGCATTTAAGTACCTTAGACAGGGAATAGAGAGGCAAGGCAAGGAGAAACAGAAAACCCAAACCCTCCCAATCCAGGGAGGAAACATAGTCCCTTTTACTGAACAACCGATGATGGCATCTGCTTTTTTAGTGTTAGAACTAGGGTCTGGGGGACTTGACAGGACCTTGTGAATTCTATAGGTGTACATGTACTGCTATCAGAGAAATGACATTAGGCAAAGCTGCTAAGGAATTATACATATGCTGTATTATATGAAATGCAGTGTGAGGGATGAATTTAAAATTTCTATCTAAAAAGGACCACAGTTCACACAGTGTTTCGGATTAGGAACCTTGTGGTAATTGGCAAGGTGAATCAGCTTTAGAGAGGAGATGATGGTTCTTCTTCAGTCTGTGGTAAGCTGAGAATAAAGTATAGCAAGCCAATTTAGAATTTCTTACCTTAAGTCCTATTGTAGAGCAGCACCCTACCTCGAATGGGAATTTCTGGAGTTCAAAGTATATTCCCAATTTTTTGAATGTTGAGTGAGTGAATGAAAGTCGCTCAGTCGTGTCCAACTCTTTTTGGCCCCATGAACTATACAGTCTATGGAATTCTCCAGGCCAGAATATTGGAGTGGGTAGCCTTTCCCTTCTCCAGGGGATCTTCCCAAACCAGGGATCGAACCCAGGTCTCCTGCATTGCAGGTGGATTCTTTACCAGTTGAGCCACCAGAGCAGCCCAAGAATACTGGAGTGGGTAGCCTATCCCTTCTTCTGTGGATATTCCTGACCCAGGAATCAAACTGGGATCTCCTGCGTTGCAGGTGGATTCTTGACCAGCTGAGCTACCAGGGAAGCCCCTTCTGAAGGTTGCTTCATTGGGCTTCACTGGTGGCTCAGTTTGTAAAGGATCCACCCGCAATGTGAGAGACCTGGGTTTGATCCCTGGGTTAAGAAGATCCCCTGGAGAAGGCAACAGCTACCCACTCCAGTATTCTTGCCTGGAGAATTCTGTGGACAGAGGAGCCTGGCAGGCAGCAATTTTGAAGATTGCTTGGCCATAATTTACATCTGTGTTTGAATGGCCTGATTAAAAATAGCACAAAGGTATACCATATAAAACCATGTATTATATTGATATTACTATCGTCAAAATCCAGGCAAAGATGATTCATGTTTAAAACTTTTTTACAATATGTTTAATATCAGAAAGAAGCATATTTTGTGTGTGAAATGGTTTTATGCTGCTCATATACTTCCTGTTTAGACTTTCTATATGTAATGCATGATAGTGAAAATTTATGTTGATTATAGGCATGTGTGCCTATTACAGATGATGAGATAGTTGGATGGCATCACTGACCCAATGGACATGAGTTTGATCAGAATCTGGGAGATAGTGAAGGACAGGAAAGCCTGGCATGCTGCAGTTCATGGGGTCACAAAGAGTTAGACACGACTTAGCAACTGAACAACAACAACAATGCAGGCTCCATTTTCCTCCCCTTTCTCATTTTTGCCTGTTATTGTGGGCTGAATTCCCTGGGAAGTGCATTTGGAGATGGAATTTAGCATGCAAAATATTAAGGAGTGTCCTTGGCATCAACAACTGTGGAAGGAAGGGAGAAGAACAGGGTTGGCCAGAAGAAGTAGTCAGGAATCAATGCAGTGCCAACAACAGTGTCTGCCAGCTCCCTTGGAAGCTCTGGAGCTAGAATGGCCCATCAGAGCTGTCCTGAGCTGGGCTGAAATGGGTGGCCAGGACTCTATATGTCTGTTCATTAATTATTGGATGTGGGTGGCCTGGGAAAAGGCATGTTCTGCAACTGACGTGACTCTGCAACTGAGGCAAATCCCTAAGGGTTCTACACTCCCAGCAGCTGCACCAGTGACTTCTTCATTGAAGGGGGATCTGGATGGAACATCCCAGGATCTACTACACTTACTTTCTTTAATTAAACTAATATTTGAATCATTTGGAGACTTGCTGTTTTTTTTTTTTTAAACTACCCCTTAATAATTAAAGGATATGTTTTGGTAAACAAGGTTACAAAAACACTGTCATTCTCCTGGGGGATTCATGAATCCCTTGTTGTTGCTGTTGAGCATCCTGGAGATGCTGGGGTTATTTTAGTGGCTCCCGTGATGACTTCTTTATCTGCTCACACAAGATCAGCCAGTTTTCTTCTGAAAGGGTTGATAGATAAATAACAGGTTTTTGTTTGTTTTTTAACTTTTTAGAAAACTCTTTGGTACCTGAAAGAGAGAAATGAAGATATTTATAAGGGAACATTGAACAGTAAAATTCATTGAGTAGGAATGAACTGATTTCCTGTAGGGTGTTCTTTATTAACCTAAGACTTTCTTTTAGACAATTGGTACTTAATAGCATTAGTTCTCCACTCAGTATGAAGTATAGTGATCTTTTTATGTTTCTGGTGTACTGCAGAAAATCAAACTGACCATGATTCCAACAAATTGAAGTAGAATAACAATCAGTACAGATATTTCTGAAATCTTATTTTAGAGTCATGTCATGGTCTGCCTATCTTATAGCACAAATTTTAAAAATGCAGTTTTAGATCATGGCAGAGATACTTAACATGAGTTGGTGCCAAGGACACATGGTTCTTAAATGAAAAGAAAAGAGTAGAGGCAGTCTTTGGTTGTTTGAGCCTGCACTTATGATTTGCAGCTGTAGCTTTTGGGACAACAGTAGATGAGTCTTAATCCTAATCACTGCTTTATTCTTCTTCACCTCAGGTATTAACTCCTAACATTCATGCTTTTTCCAAAAGTATCATTAATACTTTTATCTTTTATAGACCAAACCTCATTCATTTTTATTAATGTACATTATAATAGTTAATGGGGCTTTTCTGGTGGTTCAGTGGTAAAGAATCTGCCTGCTAATGCAGGAGATGTGGGTTGTCTTCCTGACCCAGGAATTGAAGGAAATGGCAACCACTCCATTGTTCTTACCTGAGAAATCTCGTGGACAGAGGAGTTGGGCGGGCTATAGTCCACCGGGTCGCAAAAGAGTTGGACACGACTTAGTGACTAAACAACAGCAATAATAGGTGAAAAATGTAGATTGTGTTCATATTAAGAAAACCTTTTGGATTAAAGGTAAATTTACACATAGGAGTAGATTTGAATGAATTTTTTTTTTTTTTTACTTTCCACAGGATTTTATGTAGTGAATTTATAGAGTGTTAATTCCCTCATTAAGTGATTATAGCTATGAAACTATGTCATTTCTGATCTTTAACCCATCAGAAGTAAGGATAATTTTGAAAAGTCCAAAAGGAACTGATTTATAGTATTTCTGTTTTTGGACGTCTTATTCAAATAATTAAACAAAAATTAAATGATCTGAAATTTTAAACTAAGTCTTGAGTTCTGTTGCATTAAGTATTTTGACTGGAAGGTTGGCTTTAACTAAAAAACTGCAGATCTCAATTTTATTTCTGGCATATAGAATATAATCTGAAAGCTATTTCTAAAAGATGACAACAAAGATGTGTTTTTTAAAAAATGCTTCATGAAGGTAACTGTTTAGCAGTTATTTAAACTGACTTGATTTCATTATCAATCTCCTTAGGACAAATGGCTTGAAGCTGGAAGGTATAAAGAAATTGTGGGGGAAAGAGGGCTATCTTCCCAAGAAGGAAAGCAAAACTGGTGATGAAACGGAAGCCCCTCCAGTTCCTCAGGAGAGTATAATAATGGAGAATGGAGATCAAACTGTAACAAAAAAGGATCAGTCTCAAGTCCTTACCCAATCTAAAGAGGAGAAAGAAAAGCAGCTGCTGGCATCATCATTGTTTGTTGGGCTAGGATCAGAAAGTACAATCAATTTGGTAAGTAGTCAGTTATATTCCTCTGAGAATCTTATGTCCCCTGTTTTGAACAAAAAAACTGGTTCTACAAAAGTTCATGACTGTTAATCTATACATGTTTTGGGAATGGCTCCTGCAGCTCCAGAGCCATAAGTGACATACCTTTTATATTCCTGAAGGAGAAAATCTTACTGGCTCAGCTTCAGTCAGATGTTCTCTTTAGTCAGTGCAAGGGTCAGCGTCCAGATTAAGTTGCAGATATGACCATGTGTATTATCACCCCCATGGGTGGGAAGGACATGCCTCAATGGAAAGTGGACTTGATGGAAATTAAAAATAGTAATAGTTCAACAATATTGATGTGTCTATGGAAAAAGTACTTCTTAAAATGGTTATTTTTAATAATGAAAAATAGGAATCAATTTAGATGTCTTAAGAGAATGGGTACATAAATTATATTAGCACTGAATATGACTTTGTCATTAAAAATGATAAATACTGCACTGTAAAATTAAAAAATACTTATATATATGAAGCAAAAAAACCCCCCAAATATTGTTTTTTTACATTGCTTGTAACTGTTAAGATAAAAGTGTATTGAGGTTGAAAGGAATTATGCAAAAGTGATAATTATATTCAGAAATTTTGATTATGATGATTTGCAAAACTTTTTATGCTGATATATTATTCTCTTAGTAAAAGAATAAACTGTGGCTTGAAGGACAGGTGCCATTTTTGAGTGTCTGCGTATTCCATATGTAATTTTCCATTTGGTGGGCAGATGATCCCACCTAGTGCAAAATTATGATTAGAGCTATATTTTGTTCAGTTTTATATCACAGTTTTTTTCATCCTTCATCTCCCTTGGTGGAATTTTCCCTCCATCTCTGTCAACACTAGTCAAGTCTCTAGGCTACATTCTTTGCCTGTATCTCTTTCTTTTCCAGAGCTTATTTTTGTCAGACTTGATATCAGAAAAAGTGAATTGAATTAATCCTAAAAGTATTAATAGGTAACTAATGTATCTTAATGTTGTCTCAGCATGTGTAGTTCGGCAGCACAGTGACTGATCTGGAGTCCGTGAGCTATTCCGGCAGGCTGTGATGAAGTTTCCATTGAATGATCGGTCACTAATAGGGCAAGTTCTCAGTGGTCAGAGTGCGTCAGGGTCAGGGTGCTCCAAGGCTTATGAAGCCCTGATTGGTGAGCCTTTTTCCGGGTGTTGAAGGATTTCTACCTTCTCAACAAAGTGCATAGCTTTCAGAGTATTTCTCCTGAGAACATTCAGGGTGATAAATTAATTAGACTTTTATTTTTTTTTTTTGGTGGGCTCAAAATAAGAAATGTAAGTAGGATGTTTTTCTATTTAAGTTATGTTAAATCCTTTCTGCATTACCCCTCACACTTTTCTTTTTTCTTCAGCTATCACTAGAATTAGTTGGAAAAAAAGAGGGTAAAAAGAGTGTATTTCCCTGTTTCAGGGGGCCCTGAATTATGTGAGGAACTATGTTATAACTCAGATGGCATCATGCAGAAAGGAGGGGAAGCAAATAAGTACATAAAATTAGCATATATTATTTTTTAATAATACATGTAATAATGTTGTTGTTCAGTTGCTCAGTCATGTCTGACTCTTTGCAACCCCATGGACTGTAGCATTCTAGTCCTCTCTGTCCCTCACCGTCTCCCAGAGTTTGCCCAAAGTTATGTCCATTGCATTGGTGATGCTGTCCAGTCATCTCATCCTCTGACGCTCTCCTCCTGCCCTCAATTTTTCCCAACATGAGGGACTTTTCCAATGTAATAATACATTCAGGGTAACGTGTAAAATTACCTGGCAACCTTAACTTTTCACTCACGGGGGCAAAATGGACAAGTCCTTTTGGATAGCTGCTTTTCTCTACCAATCCTATTCTTTTCCTATTTTTCTAATTTTTAATGTTTTCAGTTACATAGATCAAGGTTATATTGAGTATTTCATTTTAACTAGTTTTTAAGTCTGTTCCATTTTGAACAGACTTAATTTTTTTAACATAGTTTAGTGTGGGGGTTAAAGATTTTTTTTCCCCCCACATCTTTGCCTTTTATTTCACCATCATTTAAAAAAGTATTTTCTCTGGGTTGTGAATTTGAAGTTGACTGTTTCTTTTAAGTAATCTGACAAATAGGCTACTCCCATGGCTTCTGGCTTGTGTAGCTTCTAACTAATAGCAGCTTTGATAGTGTAGAAGAAAAGATCATTATGCTTGAAGACAAAGTAATAGAAACTATCCAAAATGAAACACAGAAAGAAAAGAGGAAACAAAAAACCCACAGCATTAGTAATCTGAGGACAATATCGAGTGGTCTAAGTGAAGTGAAGTTGCTCAGTCGTGTCCGACTCTTTGCGACCCCATGGACTGTAGCCTACCAGCATCCTCAGTCCATGGGATTTTCCAGGCAAGAATACTGGAGTGGGTTGCCATTTCCTTCTCCAGTCGAGCAGTCTAGTACATATCTAATTCAAGTTCTATGGCTACCCGAAATGAAAGTCCTCTCCTTCCCCCATCCCTCAACTTATTTTCATTTTTGTGTTAATATAATGTTAGTTCTTGTTTGATGACTTCTGAATTGAAAGGTCAGAGATGGACGTAACCTGCTGAGAGTTGGAAGAGATGTTGGGACTTGAGGGGATGAGAGGATGTGAAAAGGGACCTAGAATTCTGATTAGCCAGAATAGTGTGAAGGATGGCCACGCAGGAGGATGAACTTAAAGTAGTGCCAGTCTGCTGCACTGACTTTAGATAGAACTTTGTGAGGCAAGAGGTCGCTTGAGTCATCACTCTTTTTGCATGGATTCTCAGCCATTTCCTTGGGAGGCTTAGCTCAAGAATAGCATATTTGCTGTTCCCATCCCCTGAGTCTGTAACATTCTTCACTAGTCACTTTTAGAATTCTTTCCTTCTGTGTGTTCTAGTTAGCAAGTGCTAGTTGATTATTAAGGTAAAGTCAGTTTTTCTTCCCTGTTTATTGACTCACAGGTCGTAAAAATAGGACTACTATAGATTGCTGAACCAAAGTTTGAGCCATTCCTATGTTTAAGGGTATTTTAGCTTCTATAGGACAACTCTGGAAACAAAAGATTGCTAACTTTCGCACTGTTTTTAATTTGTGCAATTCTGTACTCTAGCATTCTGAAGTCTAACAAGACTTAGAATTGTTCATTGTTGACTTTTTGACCTTATTTCTTTTTCTGATTTTATGTGTTTTTAATGAGAAGTAGATTTAGCTTAATAGTTCAGAGTTATGTAGCTGTCAGAATTTTAGGGCTTAACATTTTATCCATCTCTAATAGGTAGAACCTTAGCTAGTTACTACATTGCTCATTTGAAATTATTTTAAAAAGAGTTTGACTCATGACTTAGTAGAATGGTTTCTTTTTATATTATTATGTTTTATCTTTGCAGCTCGGAAAAGCAGATACCATTTCTCACAAGTTTAGAAGGAAATCAAAAATCAAAGAAACCAAAAGTGAGGAAACAACCACTGATCAAAATATAATCCGTTCTTCCTTTAGTTCTTCATCAAATGTGACTTATGAAGAAGATTATTGTTTGGATAATTTGCAGGATAGAGGAGACAAAGAATTAAAGAAGTTTTCTCTCAGTTCAGAACTTTTGGATTCGGAGTCACTGACAGAACTGCCCTTGGTTGAGAAAATCTCAGATTGCAGGCTGTCTACACCCTCTTTGTTTGCTGATAACAACATGGAAGTTTTTCACCCTCCTCAAGCCACTGCAGCCTCAGTTGCCAATGAAATCTCTTTAGCTTCTTCTTTGTTGGGAGAAACTAGTGAGCACATACATTCAGATCTTATGGAGGTCTGTAATAATGAAACCATATCTGTGTCTTCTTACAAAATTTGGAAAGATGATTGTTTGTTGGTGGTCTGGTCAGTTTTTAATAAAAGTGGTTCGGAACTGAAAAGTGCTAACTTAGAAATTGCTTCTGCAGAAAATTTCAAGGTAAGACAGCGAATGGTTTATTATTTCTGCCTTAAATAGACAGTGCTTCCTTAATGTTTCTACTGTTGACTCTTCTGATGGCTTATAAATTTCTCCCACATCCGTTTTTCTTCTTTAGCAAAAAGAGTGAAAGGGGTGACAGATTTTTAAAATTATTTTAGGTGGGACAAATAATTCAAAAGAGACAAGGGAACATAATAAAGATTGTATTGGAGAAGACTGAGAAAACTGATCCAATTTCTTCTATGAGCTAGAATGCATTAAGTGGGACATTACCCGGGCCCCTGGCAGAAATTCCTAACTGTAGATGCATGCATTGTGCTGCCATGCTGTGTTAAGTTGCTTCAGTCATGTTCAACCCTTTGCGACCCTGTGGACTGTTGCCTGCCCAGCTCCCTTGTCCATGGGATTCTCCAGGCAAGAACTGGAGTGGGTTGCCATGCCCTCCTCCAGGGGACCTTCCTGACCTAGAGATCAAACCCATGTCTCCTGCGACTCCCTCGCTGTAGGCAGATTCTTTACTGCTGAACCACCAGGGAAGCCCATAGATGTGCATTAGAATCACCTAATTCTAAAAACCTAAGAGCACAAACCAAAACCCAATTCAGTTGTCTGAGCTTTACCACCAGAACTTGATTTGAGTAAGGGTGGAGAATGAGAGGGAAAGATACCTGTTTTTTTCTTTTTCTTTAAACTCTCCTAGCTTTAAAATCTGGTACTAGTTAGTATTGAGAGCCACATGACTGTTGTTGTTTTTTTTGGTTGTTGTTGTTAAATCACACAGACATTTTCATTGTAATGCTGTTTGTTACATAATTCTGACCAATATATTATTATTTCTTAATTATCTGTGCTAGTGAATTTTCGTCAAGTGAAGCTGTCAGTTATCCTTATGTTGTGGCTTGTTATTAATATTTCACCATAGTATGCTTTTGTACCACTTCAGTTAAATAGAAAATTGGTATTCATGTGAAAGTCTGTATTGATACCTTCTTCAGTACTTACTTTATTTTTATTTACAGATCACTGAGCAACCTGGATGCTGTTTGCCCGTAATAGAAGCAGAAAGCACCAAAAATTTTCAGTACAGTGTGCAGATGGAAAAACCTTTTGCAGAAGGAAATCTGTCTGGTTTTATAACTTACCAAGTTATGGATACTCACTCTGTTCAGCTTGAATTTTCAGTAAACTTATCACTGTTAGATTTCATTAGGTAAATACTTTTTGGAATATTAATTCAAGTTGTTCATTCATTCAGGAACTATTTACTAGGCTCTTCTCTGGACAGAGCACTGTACAAGGTGCTAGGGAGTATAACAGCTCAAAACTAGACACACTTCTGCCTTTAGGGAGGGGAGAGTTCATTCTAGGAAGAGACATTGAACAGTCATACACATGCATGTATAACTGTGAATTGTGCTATGAACAGGAAGTAAATGGTGTGATGGATGATTGTAGTGTGGGGACCCTGTATAGGTTTCCATGGCCAACCTATGGAAAACTTCTGAGAGAAACTAATGTTAATGTTTCAGTTCAGTTCAGTTGCTCAGTCGTATCCAACTCTTTGCGACCTCATGGACTGCAGCACACCAGGCCTCCCTGTCCATCACCAACTCCTGGAGTTTATTCAAACTCATATCCATTGAGTTGGTGATGCCATCCAACCATCTCATCCTCTGTTGTCCCTTTTGCTTGCCTTCAGTCTTTCCCAGCATCACAGTCTTTTCAAATGAGTCAGTTCTTTGCATCAGGTGGCCAAAGTATTAGAGTTTCAGCTTCAGCATCAGTCCTTCCAATGAATATTCAGGACTGATTTCCTTTAGGATGGACTGGTTGGATCTCCTTGCAGTCCAAGGGATTCTCAAGAGTCTTCTCCAACACCACAATTAAAAAGCATCAATTCTTCAGCACTCAGCTTTCTTTATAGTCCAACTCTCACATCCATACATGACTACTGGAAAAACTATAGCTTTGACTAGATGGATGTTTGTTGACAAAGTAATGTCTCTGCTTTTTAATATGCTGTCTAGGTTGGTCATCACTTTCCATCCAAGGAGTATGCGTCTTTTAATTTCATGGCTGCAGTCACCATCTGCAGTGATTTTGGAGCCCGGAAAAATAAAGTCAGCAACTGTTTCCACTGTTTCCCCATCTATGGGACCGGATGCCATGATCTTAGTCTTCTAAATGTTGAACCTTACACCAACTTTTTCAGTCTCCTCTTTCACTTTCATCAAGAGGCTCTTTAGTTCTTCTTCACTTTCTACCATAAGGGTGGTGTCATCTGCATATCTGAGGTTATTGATATTTCTCCTGGCAATCTTGATTCCAGCTTATGCTTCATCCAGTCCAGCATTTCTCATGATGCACTCTGCATGTAAGTTAAATAAGCAGGGTGACAATATACAGCCTTGATGTACTTCTTTTCCTATTTGGAACTAGTCTGTTGTTCCCTTGTCCAGTTTTAACTGTTGCTTCCCGACCTGCATACAGATTTCTCAAGAGGCAGGTCAGGTGGTCTGGTATTCCCATCTCTTTAAGAATTTTCCGTAGTTTATTGTGATCCACACAGTCAAAGGCTTTGGCGTAGTCAATAAAGCAAACATAGATGTTTTTCTGGAACTCTCTTGCTTTTTCGATGATCCCGAGGATGTTGGCAATTTGATCTCTGGTTCCTCTGCCTTTTCTAAATCCAGCTTGAACATCTGGAAGTTCATGGTTCATGTATTGCTGAAGCCTGGCTTGGAGAATTTTGAGCATTACTTTACTAGCATGTGTAATGAGTGCAATTGTGTGGTAGTTTGAGCATTCTTTGGCATTGCCTTTCTTTGGGATTGGAATGAAAAATGACCTTTTCCAGTCCTGTGGCCACTGCTGAGTTTTCCAAATTTGCTGACATATTCGAGTGCAGCACTTTCACAGCATCATCTTTTAGGATTTGAAATAGATCAACTGGAATTCCATCACCTCCATTAGCTTTGTTCATAGTGATGCTTCCTAAGGCCCACTTGACTTCACATTCCAGGATGTCTGGCTCTAGGTGAGTGATCATACCATCGTGATTATCTGGGTCGTGAATATCTTCTTTGTATAGTTCTTCTGTGTATTCTTGCCCACTCTTCTTAATATCTTCTGCTTCTGTTAGGTCCATACCATTTCTGTCCTTTATCGAGCCCATCTTTGCATGAAATGTTCCCTTGGTATCTAATCATCTTGAAGAGATCTCTAGTCGTTCCCATTCTATTATTTTCCTCTGTTTCTTTGCACTGATTACGGAGAAAGGCTTTCTTATCTCTCCTTGCTATTTTTTGGAACTCTGCATTCAAATGGGTATATCTTTCCTTTTCTCCTTTGCTTTTCTCTTCTCTTCTTTTCACAGCTATTTGTAAGGCCTCCTGAAATAGCCACTTTGCTCTTTTGCATTTCTTTTTCTTGGGGATGGTCTTGATCCCTGTCTCCTGTATAGTGTCATGAACTTTCGTTCATAGTTCATCGGGCACTCTGTCTATCAGATCTAGTCCCTTAAATCTGTTTGTCACTTCCACTGTATAATCCTGAGGGATTTGATTTAGGTCATACCTGAATGGTCTAGTGGTTTTCCTCACTTTCTTCAATTTAAAGTCTGAATTTGGCAATAAGGAGCTCATGATCTGAGCCACAGTCAGCTCCCGGTCTTGTTTTTGCTGACTGTATAGAGCTTCTCCATCTTTGGCTGCAAAGAATATGATCAGTCTGATTTTGGTATTGACCATCTGGTGATGTCCGTGTTTAGAGTCTTCTCTTGTGTTGTGGAAAAGGGTGTTTGCTATGACCAGTAAAGTTATTAAGCTTTTATTAGACATACAGTATTTAGTTATTGTACTAGCATTGTGCAGTGCTACCCACATAATTGAAAACCTTTTAACCTTTCTGCTCTCATTTAGTATTATGAATATATTGTACTGTGTTCAAACATTTTTTAAAATGAAGCATGCCTGAACCAAGAATGTAGAATACCAATGAATATCTGTAAAAAATTTTTTTAACCTTCACACATCCATCTATAATTTTTGCCCATTCTTCCAAGTCTTTTAGTGAGAACATGTTTATCAGTCTGTCAAAGAGTATGTATTTATACCTGTGGTGCTGAAAAGATAAAATCCAGCCTTGAAAAAACTTACATTCTGTGACTATGAAGGTTACTTCCCATGGTGAACATTAGTAACCTGAGGAAGCACAGCATATGTGCCACAAACAATTCTGTTCTTATGAGTAAAATCCTCTGTATCTTAAAAATTTTTTTCTAATTATAAAATCAGTACTTAATTATTATAAGAATTTAAATGTTATAGACAAATATAAGTAGAATATAAAACTTTCCCATTCCTCCCAGAGATATCCCAGTGTTAACTATTTGATCTTTAGCTGCCTGAACCATTTAAAAACTATATTTGTTAAAATTCTTTCTCTCAGTCCAGTTTGCCTAAGGTTCTAGATGTTTGTATTCGCACTTTTGTACATGACTTTGACTTTGATAGAATATCTCATCCCCAAATCTAAAGTATGTGTGCTCAGTTGCTTCAGTCATGTTTGACCCTTTGTCACCCCATGGTCTGAAGCATGCCAGACTCCTCTGTCCGTGGAATTCTTCAGGCCAGAATACTGGAGTTGGTTGCCGTGCTCTTCTCCAGGGGATCTTCCCGACCCAGGAGTTGAACACATATCTCTGGCATCTCTGGCATTGCAGGCAGGTTCTTTACCCATTGAGCCACCTGGGAAGCTCTGATCTAAAGTATACATGAAAGAAAAGTTTTATATTTGAATGATTCATGAAATTATTTGGTGAAATGTTACTGTAATGACTAATGGGCAGAAAAAGAGAGAACTGGGTGATGTATTGAAAAGACATTTGTTCTGTAATAACATCTGTTTTCAGCATTGTCTTCAAGTTAGAGGATGATGGTAAGCATTCTGATCATATCTGGTTTAAAAAACATGGATTTCATAGGATTTAGATTTGTAATGATTTTTTTTTAATTTCCATGAGTTATTTGAAATGTATTTGTTTAGAATCATTTCATTCTTATGGACATAAATCTAATTTTCACAATTATTTTCAGGCCATTAAAAATCTCGACTGAAGACTTTGGTAAACTCTGGTTATCCTTCGCAAATGATGTGAAACAAAATGTAAAGATGTCAGAATCTCAAGCTGCTCTGAGTTCTACCTTAAAGGCCCTGAAACAGGAACTAAGACTTCATGTTGTTGACATTATAGGTTTGTAGAGTTTTTGAGAAGGCAATCTTGTGTTTATGGGGCCTTTCTTACAATCAGAAAACAAACTCTTAAAAGTATCTGATTTCTTAGGGCTGTATATCCTCTTATAACATCTTTTTGATAAGTGTGTAATGCAGACTTTATTAAAAGATTTTTTGGTGTGGTAAAGTATACATAACAAAATTTTACCATTTTGATCATTTTTAAGTGCATTGGTGAGCGGCATTAAATGTATTTCATTTTGTGGTGCAGCCATTGCCACTGTCATTTTCAGAACCTTTTCCTCCTCCTTAACTGAAACTGTCCCCATTAAGCACTGACTTCCCGTCGCCTCTCCTCTGCAGCTCTTGGCAGCCACCATCCTGTTTTCTGTCTCTATGAATTTGACTACTCTAGGTACCTCATCTAAGTAGGCTCATACAGTATTTGTCCTTTTGTGACTGGCTTATTTCACTTTTAATGTCTTCAAGGTTCATCCATGTTATGTATCAAAATTTCCTTCCTTTTTAAGCCTAAATATAGTCGCATTGTATGAATACACCATGTTTTATTTGTCAGTTAATCTTTTGATGGACATTTGGTTTGCTTCCACCTTTTGGCTGTTCTGAATGATGCTGCTTTGAACATGGGTATACAAATAATCTGTGTTTGAGCTCCTGCTTTCAGTTCTTTCAGTTATATACCCCAAAGTAGAATTTTGATAATTGCTGTTTTAATGGTTATGAAGTAGTGTGTCATTTTATTCATAATCATTAGTTTTGATTTGCATTTCCTTAATGATCAGTGTTGTTGAGTATCTTTTCACGTGCTTATTGGATATTTGTATATCTTCTTTGTAGAACTGTCTGTTGAAGTCTTTTTGTATTAAAGGATTTCTGATTTTGTTTTGTTGTAGGTAATGAAGGGCTCTTGGCCTGTCAGCTGCTCCCATCCATCCCCTGCTTGCTGCATTTTCGAGTTCATGGTGACATGTTAGCCCTGTGGTTCAGATCTTCCTGTTCTACTCTTCCTGACTATTTACTTTATCAGTGTCAAAAAGTGATGGAGGGATCCTAGCAAAAGCTCTGCTTATATTTTACTCCATCAAAATAAATGGTTTACATAGATAAACTTATTTACCAAAGTAAAAAGGATTAATGGTACTTCTAATGAAAATGGGGATTATTACAGGTTGTGGTTTTGTGTGTTTTCTTTATGGTTCATGATCAAGAAAGATCCCCAAGAAACTGTACCCCTAACCTTTTACTCAGGATTGTACAGTAGGTTTGGGTCCTAAAAAGTGGCCTAAGCTAACGTTATAAACTGCTAATGAATTTATATATATTACTTAGTGTAGAAGGTCTGAAAATAATTTATTTTGTTATAAATAATTTTATAGCAGATTTACTCTAGTGCTAAAGCTGATTTATGGTAAAGCCAGGTCTCAGTTCTCTGTGTTAATGGAGGGGAGATCTGAACTTAATAATCCCAAATTGAATTCATATTTGGCTTTGGAATGCAGTGTATGCTTTTTGGTCAGCAAGTCATTACTTTCAATAATGTTTTGCTTAGATCAATATTGAGCTAAGTTGGCACAGCACACACTAATACTTCAGGAGACCCATGAGCACGTTGGATTTTGAGGGATCCAATCTGTGGTACAGTTTTTATTATAACTTGATACACATAATTGCAAACAATTTGGCTACAAAATTTGTTTCCCACTTGCATTGATTTTTAAAATTAAAAATGAATCACTGTATTCTTGTTTTAAAAACTCAGAGCCATTTATATAATATTATTATTTAGAAACAAAACCTGTAAGAGCATACAGTACTAAAGTAAACAGGTATAAAAGGACTTTTCAGTTATGGCAAATATCTTAGTTACCACTTAGATTTTTTTTGGCACATTAAAATTTGTGAATAGAGTACAAATGACAAAACCATCTTTCCTGGCCTTTGAATCCACTAGTACTCAATGGATGCAACGAGAAGAGTGATAGTCTTAAGTTTACCATACAGATTCTTCAGTAAAATACATGATTTTCATGTTACAGTTGTGCCTATATGACCTCTGTCAGAACTGTTATCAGTAAAAGAGGTTAAGCCTAATTTGAATGATAGACCAGAATCTTAAGATTATACATTTATGTTAAAAACAGAGTATTTTATAAAACCTTATGGTGCTGTGGAAAATATTTATTATTTCACTTTTTCTGATACTTCATGGTAGAAACTATTCAGGTAATATAGTTTTAAGTCATTGTAGTTAATACTCTGGTTAATTGGTACTGTTTATCACCCGGGTGTGGAATTGTGGTTTTAGGTTGTCTCATTAGTCATAACTGATAGGGAATTCCCCAAAGCTGATAGACTTCACTAGTTATTTGTGTTTAGCATATCTCTCCCTAAAAACAAAAGCCACATTAAGAAATTAATTTTTAAATTACTCATTAAAAAAATACCTTGTTAATTTCATGCTTCTAAAAAAGCATGCAGTAAGACCTTGCTACAAGAGCAATGAGCAATGGTTAGAATTTCCTGAGTAGGTTTTTCCTTTTGAATAGAAGATCAGATTCATTCTCAAGCTCCCAGCAGTGTCATGATGACAGGAATATGAATGACGGGAGAGTGTGGACACTGTTGGCTTTCTCTTTATTGCTGCCTCTGTCAGCAGCACCCTCCCACCCCACCTAGTCCTGTTGATACTCTGACAAAGAGATAGGAAGTGCCCTCTCACTTTGAGAAGGAATGTAGAGTGTAGCAGAAGAGGTGCTTCATATTTTTGTGTCCCTGCTTCCTTTTGTGTGGTCACTACGGCTGGGTGGAGTGTGGAGCAGTGGATGGAAGGTGCCCCACAAGCAGGTGGACAGCTAGCTGGGAGAGATTACAGTGAGCTGTTGTGCTGCTTTGTTACAGGGTGTTCATGGGTGGCAGCAGCAGCTGTCATGAGAGACACGCTTGGCCTACAGTGCTAATGGTGGGAAATGTGTAATGGTAGGTTGGGGCTGGGAGTATGATTTTGGGTCTGTCAGAGGGAATGTGGTGTCACTTTTGTTCTTTCTGAACCCACTGCATAAAAAGTAGGATAAAAGGATTTCTGCTGAATGTTTAATAGAATGTTTACATTTTTATATTTTTATGGTTTTTAAAAACAATAATAGAAAGGAGTAGATTTTAAAGAACTTCAGAGCAGTATATATTCTGCCTAAACTAATGAATGTTTTAAGTTGTAGATCGGGCATCACCAGCTTTTTCTGCATTGTAGGAGATGTGACGTTGAAGTAGGAAGAACGAATTTTTTTGTGGGCAAGATCGTCTCTTTATCTTATAATTCAGTCAAGTAAAGGGGCGACATCTGGAGTGAGAGCTCTTGTGGAGGGGAGATGCAGCTGGTGAGTTCTCTGCTGGGCGTCTTTGCTGAGAACATAGGTGGCAATGAGTGTGAATCTGGGGAGAATAAAGGGAAGACAGGAAAGCCTTAAGAGACAGTGGAGGAAGAAGGAGCAGGCTTCCACCAGAGGAGTAGATTAGTCGCAGGGGAATGTGGGCCCTGAGTAGGGGTCCTTCTGAAAAAAACTGCAGATGGAAGCTGAACAGTTACCAAGTGCTGATGTGCCAAGCATGCCAAGCACAGCATGTGCTCTGCAGAGGAGCAGTATTTAAAAAATATTCTATAATCTACGGAAACAATTTTGGTTAAAATGCAGTTTTATTTTTTCCTTTATTTTAGTTCATGTCATTTGTGTTTTAAAATATCAAGCAATTTTATGGATTAATGTGATCTTTGTCTCATGTTTGTGAGCCACTGAAAGTGCACTGAACCTATTCACATGTCGTTTAAGGTGTTGTTTTCATTTGTTTTAAAATTTTAGGAGGGAAAAATGCAAGTGAATAACAGCTTTCCAGGCATTAGTTGCCTTATTTTGGAGTTGAATTCTGTAATTTGAAAAAAATTCAGTTAAACATGTAATAAATGCAAAGTGATCTATCTTGTTGTTGTTTGGTCTATGTATTCTTTACCATCTAAAAGTAATACTTTTCAGTGATTTGATAGGCATTAGCTAAAAAGAGCAGAAGCAATTGGAATGGGATGAAAAGAGTGATTTACTTATTATAGCCCCAAAGCATGTCATATAATTGGTTAAAAGTAAAGACACTGCTCTTTCTTTATGATGTTCAGAGAAAACTTTCTGGGCTTCTGACAGGTTAGAGCATGGATTGATCCTCAGGAACTTGTCCATATCCCCTGCTTTCATCCTAGCCTGACCAGAGCATTCAAAGCAGTGTTTTGTTTCTATATTGCCTCACCTCAAGATGCAAGAAACACGGTAAGTCAGGTGGTGACTTCTTATCTAAAGACTCTGAGTCTCCTGGCCATCTCTGCATTGTGTATCCTAAAACACAAAGAAATTATATTTAAATCTCACTTACAGATGACTCTCGTTGGCTATAATGCACAGCAGGAAAATGTTCTGGAGCTTGAAACTGATATTTTGGGCACAGAAGGTAAAGGAGGTTTAAATGCCTCACACCATTAAAAAGAAGGATGGCCTGCAGCCAAATGGGCCAGAGGTAATGATTATATGAAATTTACTTGTTATGTATGTGCATAAGAAGAGGCTGTGAGTTTTTAGAGCTAGGAACCAGGCGTGTATTTTTATGTCCCTTTTGCCTGCTACCTAACAGTGTATTGAATGAATGACTAAAAAGACCTGTTCCCTAAAAATAAGTAATCTGAAGTTAAAGTGAAAGTCACTCAACCATGTCCAACTCTTTGCAACCCCATGGACTATATAGTCCATGGGATTTTCCAGGCCAGAATACTGGAGTAGGTAGCCTTTCCCTTCTCCAGGGGATCTTCTGAACCCAGGGATCGAACCCAGGTCTCCTGCATTGCAGGGGAATTCTTTTCTAGTTGAGCCACAAGGGAAGCCCAAGAATACTGGAGTGGGTAGCCCTATCCCTTCTCCAGGGTGTCTTCCTGACCTAGGAATTCAACCCGGGTCTCCTGCATTGCAGGTGGATTCTTTACCAACTGAGCTATCTGAGACCTGGTAATATCCAGGGATTGATTTTAGTAATCCTGTGGCTCTCCCAGAAATAAAGAAAAGGGAACTGACTGGCTTAGAGATAGAAGTCAACAGAAAAGGGTTCCAGTGGAAATAACTTGTGCCAGTTTGTACCAGGTAGGGGAGGAGAAATATGACCACTTGAAGAGACCCTTACCAGTCTAAGTCCCATGAGAATGTGCCATGTCATTTAAGAGATCTCTCTGCGAAGGAAATGTGATTACAGATAGAAATTATGACTTGGAGAAAGGGAACTTTTCTATAATATGTCAGATGTTCATGAGTTCTTATTGGTCTAGAAGAACTTTTTCTAGGATGGAAAGTGGTAGACATTTGGTCAGTGAAATTAAACATAGGGAGGTAATGAATATAAGGCAGATTTACCAGCTAAATTAGTATCACCTATTTCTTTAGAAAAGTGAGAACTATGGTAATGGGAGAGACAACTATATTGATATTAAAAAGGTCAATAGCATTAGGAAAGTTGGGAAAGAACAGGCCGCCTGGGATAGAGCACAAGAAAAGGAAATGTTCATTTGTATCACATGGGAAATGTTATGGTAGGTACATGGATCCAAGATAAGAGGATACCCCCAAAAATGAGTCCCAGAGAACCATGAGCACTTAAAGATTGTGGCGGATGCAGAGAGGATGGGCCTGTGTGTGGGGAAAGTAAAAGTTTACTGGCACACTTATAACACTGGAAAACTAGTGGGGAGAGATTGTGGGCTTTTCTCCAAGAGAAGGACTCAATTTCCTTTAGTTATTTTAAACTATTTTCCTAAGTGGATGAGTACTTTTCCTTTCTTAAACTTTAAGATGCCTTTGTGACTAAATGGCTGACCTCAGAAAGTTTTTTCCCTGATGGGGTCTGATAGGTCTTAGGCCAAATGGATAGAGATTAGAGCCTAGAGATTATTCATGCTTTCATGAGAGAAAAGTTATTAGAAGTTTAATTGCACATCTTCTCCACACTTTAATTGTGTATATACTTAATGACTGACTCTGCCCTTTATGACAAATAGGAACAGAGGCAAGGCATATATATTCTTAGGGAGGGGCATTTGGTCTGATGCTGCCTTGTAATTTAATAAAGGTAAGGGCAGTATCTGTGACTAGAGCAAACTGGTCCTCATTGATCATGGATATCAATGTGTAAGAACTTAGTTTTTTCATCTTAGTTGATGGTTAATGGGGTTAGGTAGAAGAGTTTTTGAGCCTTTAAAGGAAAGGTGAAATTATTTGAACCCAAATATTGGACCAGTCTTCACTTCCAGAAGCAATAATAGTGTCTTTTATTATTTATACAGAGCCTTTCTGAACACACCTGAGTTAAAAGACTTTGGACTGTGTCTCACCCATAGCCTCAGAAAGGGGCTGGTCACCAGAGAGACCAAGTACTTAGAGAATTAGAACTTTCAACCCTACCCACTGACCTCAAGGAAGGGAAAGATTTGAGGGCTGGAGATTAAGCTCAAAAAAAATTTTACTGAACAAAGGGATTTGATGACCTTCTGTGTTGGTGAATGCATCACATTTTGGGAGGGGGGACACCCCAGTTCCAGTGAGGACAGAAATTCCTGTGCTTGGGACCCTTCTGTTTCTCACCCTCTATACCTCTTCATCTGTATCCTTTATTTTTTTTTTAATTTTTTTTTCATTTATTTTTATTAGTTGGAGGCTAATTACTTCACAACATTGCAGTGGGTTTTGTCATACATTGACATAAATCAGCCATAGAGTTACATGTATTCCCGATCCCGATCCCCCCTCCCACCTCCCTCTCCACCCGATTCCTCTGGGTCTTCCCAGTGCACCAGGCCCGAGGACTTGTCTCATGCATCCAGCCTGGGCTGGTGATCTGTTTCACTATAGATAATATACATGCTGTTCTCTCGAAACAACCCACCCTCGCCTTCTCCCACAGAGTCCATGTATCCTTTATAATAAACTGGTAAACATAAGTAAATGTTTCTCTGGATTCTGTGAGCCACTCTTCCAAATTAATTGAACCTGAGAAGTGGGTTGTGGGACCTTCCAGTTTACAGTCATTGCGTCAGCAGTGTAGTTGACAACCTGGACTTGTGGTTAGTATCTGAAGGGGAGCAGTCTTGTGGAACTGAACCTTTAACTTATAAGATCTGATTCTGTCTCCAGGTGTATAGTGACAGAATTGAGTTAATTGGTAGGACAAGCCAGTTTGCCTCCACTCAGAATTGCTTGGTGGCGTGGGGGGAAAAGGCATGAATTGACAAAAAAATTTAGATTGTGCAATGTGATTTTTTTCAAGTTGTCCAGTTTGATGATTTAATATATATTGTGAAATGATTACCACAGTCAAATTAATTAAAATGCATCCATCACTTCACACAGTTACTTTTGTGTGTGTGGTGAGAACACTTAGGGTCTTAACAGATTTCAAATATACAATATGGCATTCTTCCCTGGTGGCTCAAATGGTGAAGAATCTGCCTGCAATGCAGGAGACCCAGGTGATCCCTGGGTCCAGAAGATTCCCTGGAGAAGGGTATGGCAACCCATTCCAGTATTCTCGCCTGGAGAATTCTATGGACAGAGGAGCCTGGTGGGCTACAGTCCATGGAATCACAAAGAGTCGGACATGACTGAGCGACTAATACACAACACAACACAACTAAAATCACTGTGCAATCCACGAGACTGGGGATAATTTTAAAATCCCATACCCTAGACCATAATCAAAGGGATCAGGCATAGGCTCCTGCTATTATTAAACTCCATAGATAATTACAACATGCAGCCAAGTTTGAGAACCCCTGTTTTATTTATTTTATTTTATTTTTATTTTTATTTTTTTTCATTTATTTTTATTAGTTGGAGGCTAATTACTTTACAGTATTGTAGTGGGTTTTGTCATACATTGAAATGAATCAGCCATGGATTTACATGTGTTCCCCATCCCGATCCCCCCTCCCACCTCCCTCTCCACCCGATCCCTCTGGGTCTTCCCAGTGCACCAGGTCCGAGCACTTGTCTCATGCATCCAGCCTGGGCTGGTGATCTGTTTCACCCTAGATAATATACATGTTGCGATGCTGAGAACCCCTGTTTTAAATGCTGTCTGTGTCACCCTACTTTTCCTCAGTAGGATTGTTTTTGGTGATGTTTTCCCCACACTCTTTCCTGCAATGGAGACTGATTAAGAGTAGCTATTGAGTGTTTGGAAGGTAAGTAATGGCATTATTTGGAAAGATTAGGGTAGGTACAGAGGAGGAATCTTGTGTGAATGTACAAAAAGTTGTAGGATCTGTGACAGTAGCAGCTTAGTGTTTGAATTTAGCAAGCTTAGGCTTGCTCTTAAAATGGTAGCATGGTAGGATTTGAGAAATGAGGGTCCCTCACATCCAAGCAGGAAAGTACTGTAGACATTGTTAGGTAACATGTGAATTGAAGTTGGATTGTCAAATTTTAATTCTTGGCTTCACTAATTACAAACTTGTGCTTTTGGGCATAATACTTAAACACTCTGTGCCCCAGTTTCTTTTTTGTATGGGGGGGGATGATAATACCTACCTTATAGGATTACTGTGAGATGATGAAAGGCACATAGTGGTTCATGTTATAATTTTTCAATGTCTTAAAGTATGAGTTTAATAACATCATTATGGAAAAAAGAAAAAAGAGTGGGCAGTAAAGATGAAAGAAAGAGTTCAGATAAAAGTGAAGAAATTTAGCGGAACCAGGAAACATCAGAAGGTGAATTGCCAAAGTTTTTAACATAATTAAAAAAAAAAAGCAGAAAAAGGAAAGCTTCATGAAGTTAGAAAAGCTGTTTTCAATGATGTCCCTAAATATTTAGGAAATATAGGCAACGGAAAAATACTATGATCAAATCCCATATAAACTTATTATGTATGAGAGAGAGTGATATTAAGAGGTGGGGTAATATCCCTACAGAAAATAAAAGTACACTAGTATAACATGCTCACAAAATAGATCAAAACTATTAGCCTACTGTTTCAAAACAAGCTAGATGAGATTTTAAAATTAAGATGTGAGAAAACAACATATATTAGTGCTGTCGAAATTCTGAAACGAAGTGATAAATTAGAGAAGAAATTAAATTTTTTAAAAAATCTCAGAACTAAAAGCAACTAGAAGAGTCACAAGTGTGAATAAACACACACAAAAAATGCCTTAGGGAAATACAGTATGAGGATGATATATTTTTTAAATAAATGAAATATGGTGAATATTCAAGAGAAAGCAACAAATATTGAAGATAGGTAAAGAAGATTCAGCATATGGATTATAGGAGCTCCTGAAGGAGAAATTCCAAAACACAGGACCAAAACAAATCCTGAACATGGTAACTCAAGGGAACATTCCTGAAAGTACAATTAAAAATAATTTGAAACGAGAGAGAGTACACTGTGTACCTGAGACTCTCAACTGATAAATAGCAAGACAAGACGTTCTAGTAAGATTACTAAACTCATAAAAATTGGAAAAATTCCTTGACCATCTAAGAAAAAATAGCAAGTGACTTATAAAGAAAATAGATTATCATCAGACTTTGACAAATGATATATGCCAGAAGAAAATAGGATAATATATTTTAGATACTCGAAGATGTGAACCAAGAATTTTATGCTTAGTAAAACTAATCCCTAAGCTTAACAAGCACAAACTGCTATCAACATATAAGTAGTCAAGGAATATTGTTCCTATGAACCCTATGGAATCCTATAGGAATCCTATAGGGTTCCTATGAACCCTATGAACCCTTCCTGAGGAAGCTACTAGAAATGAGATTCATTAGGGCTGGTTGTAAGCATTAAATATATGACTGTAGAACTAGGAATAAGTGAAAAGGAGAAGATGAGTATGTAAGGGCTGTGTGCACTGACAATGCAGATGCAGTACAGCTGAAAGAAGAGGGGGGGGGGAAATAGAAAAAGCATATGCAAAATCAGAAATATTTTTTGTAACTGTATCAATAGTGGTAATATTATCTGATACCATGTAGGATAAAACAAAAGATTAATGGTGGGATATTTCAATTTTATCATGGTCTGTATCCTTGAGACCAGGAGTCTTAGAGTGAGGAAACTAAGTATAGAAATAATACAGATGGTGAATAACTTGTGTAGTTCTCATTTTGTGTTGAGGATACACACATACACATATGCCCCAGGTGCCTAGTTTTGGTCCTGGAATGTGGTTTTACTGTGGTGGTTTGGTGGTTTAGTTGCTCAGTTGGATTTTCCCCTAAAAGAAACCAAGGCTTCTTGGAGAAATTATTGATTCTAGGTCTGGGACAGAAATTATACAAGATGAGCCTGAAATATTTTTTATACCAGATAGCAAAGAATCTATCAAAGACCACCAAAGTCACAACAAAGGACACAGTAGCTAAATTGTGTCTCCTGATGAAAGAGTACAGATCACCTACAGTTTTAACCAAAGTGATAGAATAATCTGAGTTTGTTCAAGTCTTTGGATGAAGTTGCCAGCTTGCAACTGAAAATACAGAGGGGAGAGGAATAAGCTAAACTACATTACATGTTTGCAGTCAGCAAAATTCAGACTGGAAAACTCTAGAGACCTTCAACAAATAAGGAAAAGAAAGGGATGGGATGGAGTTTTTACATTAAAAGAAACATGTCAAGTTTCTTAAAAATGGGCTAGACTAAACTGTAGTGTCTAGGGATGCACAGTTGGGTATTTAAAAGAAATGCAAGGAAGTGATTGTAATAAATGTAATGTTACTCTGGGGCAGGGGGAAGACAGTGATTGGAATTAGGCCCACTGAAGGACTTCTTGGGGGGGAGGGTGTCTTCCCTGGTGGTGGTAGTGGTAAAGAGCATGCCTCACAATGCCACTGCAGGAGACCCAAGAGACATGGGTTCAATTCCTGGGTTGGGAAGATCCCCTCGAGGAGGGCATGGCAACCCACTCCACTATTCTTACCTGGAGAATGCTATGGACAGAGGAGCCTGGTGGGCTACAGTCCATAGGGTGGCAAAGAATCAGACACTACTGAAGTGAGTTAGCATGCATGCAGGGGCTTTTTGGGATGGTTGGCAAAGTATTGTTTCTTGACCTGGGTGGTATTATAACAGTTTCCCTGTTATTGTTAATATATTTTTTCAAGTTAAAAGCAAAAATAAATGGAACTTTATCAAACTTATAAGCTTATGTACTGCAAAGAAAACCATGAAAAAAATAGAAAAAAGGAAATGACAACCTATGAACCTGGAGAAAAGTATTTGCAAATGATGTGACTGACAAGGGTTTAATTTCCAAAATATGCAAATAGCTTGTACCATTCAGTAACAAAGACCAAACAACCCAATTGATTAAATGATCAGAAGACCTAAGTAGATATTTCTCCACAGAAGATATGCAAAAAAATGGCAATAGGCACATGAGAAGACATTCATATCTCTAATTATTAGAGAAATGTTAATCAAAACTACAATGAGGTACCACCTCACACCAGTCAGAATGGCCATCATTAAAAAGTCTACTAATAACTAATGCTGGAGAGGATGTGGAGAAAAGGGAAACCCTCTTAACACTGTTGGTGGGAGTGTAAATTGGTACACCTGCTATGGAAAACAGTGTGGAGGTTCCTCAAAAAACTAAAAATAGAGTTGCCATATGATCCAGCAATCCCACTCCTGGATATATATCCAGACAAAACTATAATTCATGAACACTGAAAGCAACAGCTCTGCTTGCTCATCACAGAGTCTGACCCCAGACTCCAAAGACCCCTCCTACACGAAAGTGAGTGGCTTCTCTGTCTTACCAAGGACGTGACTGAAACGGTCCTTAGACTTTGGGAATGACTTGTTCAAGGCAGCTGTGTTCCACATCCTTCCAGGAGGGGAAAGAGTCTGCTTTTCCCTTGTTTCAAACCAAGAGCAGGAAACTTGGCTCAGCGGTCCCTTCACTGCAGACACAGGGAGTGGCCTATGAGCCTCTGTGGACAGGACGCTCTTCCAGAGAGATCACTAGTCTGACGATTATTTTGAACATGGGCCTTGTACTTGGCACTAGTGATAGTCCTTCATGAATGTTTTCTTTGAGAACAAGCAGGAGATATCAACCCCAGGGGAAGCTGAAGGGGGTCCAAGGCTCAGCCGTCTCTACCTGCCCATGTGAGGCTCACTGAGTGCTTTGAAGAAGTGGTATCAGTTGGTCGAGAGTCTGAGAAGACACACCACTGTGAAAGACTCTCTGGATTTTTACACATCCCATTTCGATGCATGAGGGAGTTACGAAAATTAGACCTATCTAGCGACTTAGCAGCAGCAGCAGCAATATAGAACAAGCAGGGAAGCCCTGTGTGCAAAAAAAGAAAAAAAACCCCACTATAATTAAAAAAGATACATGCACCCCAGTGTTCATAGCAGCACTGTTTACAATAGCCAAGACATGGAAACAACCTAAATGTCCATTGACAGGTGAATGGATAAAGAAGATGTGGTGTATATACACAATGGAATACTACTCAGCTATGAAAAATAATGAAACAATGTCATTTGCAGCAACATGGATAGACATAGAGATGGTCATATTACAGAAAGTCAGAGAAAGACAAATACCATATATCACTTATACATGGAATCTAAAA